CAAGCGCATGTGGGACCGCAACTGAAGAAGAGACTCCGGAGGAAGAGACAAGGAAGCAGTCCAAGAGTCCCCACACAAGACCCAGCCAGGTCCGAACCTGTGAGGGAACCAGATAGGACTTTTGCCAGTTCACAAGGAACCCGAACCTGCTAGCTGGCAAAGCACCAAACCCCTGGCGAGCAGACACGCGGACCGACTGAGAGCCCAAACCAACCAGTAGTCGAGGTAAGCCAACACCTGAACACCTATCAAATGCAGACAGGCAACCACGACCCAGATGAGGTATGTGAACACGCGAGGTGCCAGGTTCAACCCGAACAGGAGACAACAAAAGTGGTAACTCTGATGCCCCAAAACAAAACTGAGTCAGTCCCTGAATCCCGGATGAATAGGGACATGCCAATACGCAACCATCCAAGCTCCCGGCTCCAACAGAAGCCGGACTTGAGCCAGAGTGGTCGTCCGAAAGGAGAGGCAAAAATCCCAGGGGTTCAGACGGGACAAGTCTAGAATTAACCGCAGGTCCGCACAGTCCCGTTTCGGAACTGGAAACAGGCGGGACGCCTGTTTCCAGTTCACCTGAGGGTGAACGTCATCGTTTTGACCATGCCCCAAGCGCTCCCACTCCAAGACGACCTGACAGAGCAGGAAAAGAGGCCTGCCCTGCCAGCGCCGACCCCCCCCCCTCCTCCCGAAAGGAAAGGAGCCACCCAATACCACCGAAGGCCACAAGAGACGACCCAAACAGCCCACGAAATGTGGGACCAGGCGTGAGCGAACAGAGCAAGCCTCCCCCCCCCATCGCCCCGTCAATGGGGCGTACTGGGAAAAGGTTGAAGCCCCGTTCAAGAACCCGACCTGCGCACAAAGCGTGTCAGGGCCCATGACCCCTCCAGAAGGAACCCATCCAGGACCCCCAGAGAACCAACAAGTCAGACATAGAGCAGCAGCTGGAGAAAACCGCTTGCATATATTGTTCGATCGCAGAAGCAGCAAATAATACGGGACAAAAGGACGAAATCAATCTAAGAGCCAGGGCCCAAGCGGATTCCAAGGAGGAAGCGAGCACCACCTGCCAATACGCGAGGTGCGCAGCAAAAAAACGCAACAGCACATCCCACAGGATTGGCACAAACAGGTTCAAAAGTGCAGAGGATGCATGAGCAGCCAAAACCAAGGTGCTAGACTCATAAACGGCCCCAAGCGCATCTGCATCCTCCATAAGCCAATCAGAAGACAGCTCAAGGAGGGAAAAGAAACGCAGGATCGAAGCCAACAAGCCCCAAATGCGCAAGTCCTCAGCCACAAGTGCAAGCGACAGGGAGGGAACCTGCACATGAAGCTGAACCACACCAACATCCTGCAGAAGAGCTGGAGTGAAAAGGCACTCATTAAGGTGTGCAAAATTGCTCCCCCATGTAAACCTGACACCACATTCAATGCCTCACGCCATTCAGGCATGTGGGTACGACAGAAGGTGTCCCAAGCATCCAGCAAAAACATAGGGCAGTCCGCAAGCCAGGATGACTCCAGAACCTCATAACGAACCCAGTATGGAAACGAAGACCCAAACCTGAAGGAAGATGGATCCATTACAGAGGCATACTCCGGGTTGCGCAGGAGTCGCAATGGCCGCCCACACCTCAGCCGGAGAAATGCGGGATTTCGAAAACCTCCGGAAGGATGGAACCAAAGGACCCGCATGGACATAGAACCGAACCCGGGGAGGTGCTGAACCCAAATCCAACACGTATGCAGAGGGATGGAAAAGAAAAACCCCACTCCTTGTAACAGGAAGCCTTGCTCAGAGGGATCGGAAAACCCAGGCAGGGTCCAATGGAGCCCAAGGCCCCCAAGTCCGCTCCTCCCCAACCCTGGGAACCTCTTCGTCAGGCCCCGGGGACAAGTCGTCCTCCAAAGCCCCGGCCTCACAAGAAAAAACCGGGGCGGCTGGGATAGCAGGAAGAGGATGGGCCCACTGGTCAGACATCGTAACTACGGCTGGAGAAACGGGCTTGAATACCTACACAGTCACCCCGGAAGGGGCAACCCCCAAAACTGCCTGAGTCTCAGAAACCTCTAAACCCTGCCCTGACCCCGAAGCCCTCAGACGCTTAGCAGCCTGAACCAGGGGAGAGGGGAATCGAATGAACCACAGCATGTGAAGAATGATGAGGCACAGATGAAACCAAAGCCGAAGCAACCAACACCCCCAAGTCCGGGTCCCTATAAACAAAACAGGGAAGCAACCAACCTAAACCTACTGTATCTTGCAATGCGCAAGCCGCCTGCAACCGAATAATATCATCATCAGATTGGGTGAACTGAGTCGCAAACAAGCAACAAAGCTTGCAGGACTCAGGGTTGAATGTTGTCACCGACCCAACAGGCATCATGATGGAGGCAAAAACAATGAGCATTGCCCCGAGATAAGGGGACAGTGCAACCCTCAAACTCGCAAAATGCGAGAAGGGGCTCAAGAGGTCACATCCATTGGACCCGAGCGCCCCCTGTGAGGTTTCCCAGACCCTTAAACTGGGTTTGTTAAGGGTTATCTCAGGCAGGGTACTGCTAACAGAAGCCCAAGCTAATAAATCAATACTGTCAATGCTGAACCCCTGGGACATGTTCACTCACGAGGGCGAAGCAGGGGGTATCACCAAACACAAACTCGTTATCTTCTTGAAGTTATCTTGAGATGATTTCGGGGCTTTTTAGTGTCCCCGCAGCCCGGTCCTCGACCAGGCCTCCACCCCCAGGAAGCAGCCCGTGACAGCTGACTAACAGACAATAACAGACTAACAGACTGACTAACAGACACTAACAAACAATCCTAGTATAAAGGGCAAAGGAAAAACAAGGCAGACCCCCCCCCTCCCCACCAGCCAAAAACAAAAAGAAAAGAAAAACCTCACAAGACGACAGCGTACCCAGAGGAAACAGTGCCGGCCGCTGTTATAGGTGAAAACTAGCTGTGCAGTACCCCGTGCCCCTGCCAGTGCAATAACTACCACTTACCCCAAGGCAAACTAGGGAGGAAACCCACCAAAACACTCGGGGGGTAGATAATCGCTAAGCAAAAAAAGACCAACAGAGGTAGACCCAAGGTGACTTGTGGAAGGGAACCCCAAGCCCCTAGGGCGGTACGTACAGGGCACTCAGGGGGAAGGTGACCTGCATGTCCCCAGTAGGCACATGCAGCCCGGGTACCTGTGAATATTACTCCCAGCTCGCACACCACCATAAGAGCAGTACTGAACAGAGGACAGCACAACAAAAGTCCGGAGCTGGAGCCACAAAGACCAAGCCGTATCCCATCAACCGAAGAACTGAGGTGTGGATCGTCGGTGCAGGGGGTCTGGGGGTCCCTTCCCTCTCCCGATAAGGAGGGAGCTGCACAGACGTGTAGCGCGGCTCCTGTGACGTCGTACTTGTTTGCTCATTTTCATTTTGGGAATTCTCTTCACTCATTTGTCTATTTTTATTGTTTTCACCAGAATAGAGGATTGTTTTAGGGCGCTTACCTTTCTGAGTGCCTGTCCCGGTCGATGGTAGATACAGAATGCTCCATAATCACATGTGCATTTCTATAGGCCATTGCTCCTAGTGTCTCTCTGAGGGGGCCAGGTTCTGGCCGTGGTCCCCAGTAGGCCTAGAACTCCACCCACATCGACTGATGCCAAAAGTTAAGACTATCCCTATCAGCCTGGATAGCTCCAGGAAGCAACTGGACTCCCCCAGAAAAATATCTGCAGGAGAAAAGTTTGCCACTCAAGGCCCTGTTTCAGCTCGACAATGCTCCTGCTCATCCTCCAGGCTTGTAAGCTGCATTGTTGGACAAATTTAATTTTGTTACAATAAAGTTCCTTCCTCCTAACACCACTCCTCTAATTCAGCCTATGGACCAGAAAATCATATGAAATTTTAAGACATCTTTTGAAAGGGCACTTTTCCGGAAATGTTTCAAAATGACTGATTCTGCACACCTCATCCTCAAAGAGTTCTGGAAAAAAACATTTTAACATTTGTACTGCTTTAAAACTCATTGACAAAGCCTGGCAAGAAGTGAATCAAAGAACCCTGATCTCTGGCTGGAGAAAATTGTGGCCTGAATGTGTTTCAGAACCAGACTTTGAGGGGTTTGAGCCTGGACCTGAAGTGCCTATTGTTGAGGAAATTGTTACTCTGAGCAGGAAATTGGGTTTGGAGTTGGATGGTGCTGATGTGGAGTTGGCAGAGGAACACAGCGAAAAACTGACCACCGAAGAACTCCTAGCTCTTCACAATGAGCAGCAACAAGAGGCAGCTGAGGAAATTTCTTCAGGGGAGGAGGAGGCAGTACAGAATGTCCCTTCCTCAACAATTAGGAAGTGGTGTAGACTGTGGGAAGAAATGAAAACTGTTGTTGAAACAACTCACCCAGAGCAAGCTGTAGTAGGCCGTTGCATTAACCTTTTCAATGACAAAGTGATGCCTCACTACAGACAACTGTTACAACAAAGGAAAAAACAATCCTATATGGATCGATTTTTAGTGAGAAAATCAAGCAGTGAGCCACAAGCAGGCCCCAGTGATATGCAGGCAAAACGTGCCAGAGAGTGTACCCCAGAGAAGTCATTCCTGCTTGATGTTATAATGGAAGGGGACTCCCCTTCCAAATCGTAACACCTCTCCTCCTCACCGTCTTCTATACGCCAACAAAAGTCATCAATAAAGATAAGTAGAAACTTGTACATAGTTTAGTACTAAAGATTTGAGAGAAATAGGTATGAAACCTAATTTGAAGTTAATTTTTGGGGGATTGTGGAATGAATTAATTCTATTACATTGTTTCTTATGGGAAAATTCGCCTCGGTTTACGAATTTTCGACTTGCGAACCGTCTCTGGGAACAGATTAAATTTGTAAACTGAGGTACCACTATATAGCCATATCAGCCTGGATAGCTTTGGGAAGCCAAAGGGGCTCCCCCAGAACACAACTGTAAAACACAATACAAACCTTTTGTTATGCGAAGAGCGGAGAAATGCAGTTGCAAATAATCTACTAGTTCTCTCCGGTACAATTTTCCAATGGATATGTGGCATTTTTACAAAATCTTTGTCAGATTCCAGGATTTTTTGGACACGGTTCTGAAGAAGACATACCAATTAGCATTAAACACCATCTTATTTTCTATATTTCATCATGATCAAAAATTAAAATATTTGTTGGACAAATCTTTTACAAAAAAAAAAAAAAAACAGCGTTGAATGTAATGAAACGCCATTTTCTGGGCGAGCCCCGGAGGCTCCCTGGAGCTTATCGGGCTAATGTATGTTATATTAGACCGGGACATTAGCTATAGAGTTCAGACCTACCAGGGACCAGCGCCAGAACCTGGCCCCTTCAGAGAGGTTTCAGGGAGCAATGTCCCTGGAAAACCCCCTTGAGGTTGGGGTTTTCCTTATTTGCCATCGACCGGGGTTAGGCACCCAGAAAGGTAGGCATAACAAAATAAACCCCACATGGTAAAAAACTAAAACAAAAAAACGAACAGAGAGGTAGAAACTCCCTACAATCCCAAGGAAACAAGCAAACATCACACTTTACTGCCGCGCCAATCGTCCGCACAGCCCTCCCCGCCCGGACCTACTGCGCCGGCTGCCTAGCTTCAGTTCGGAAGCTTAGCTTCAACCAATGCGAAAAAAAGCCGACCGGTGGGAGTGAGGGTTGCCAGGGAGCCTGCGGGGCTCACTTAGAAAATGGCGTTTCATTACATCAACGCTGGTTTTCTGTGGGGAGCCCCTACGGCACCCTGGAGCTTCATACCCAAAGAGAAGGAAAAGAAAGGGCTAACCCGGGAGGCGGCCGCTACAAACTCCGCAAAGCGAAGCCGAGACAACAGGCTGCAACCTGCAACCCAAGGCAACAAGAACGCACAGGAGCAGACGCGCATAAAGAATGGGCGACCAAGAACCTGTGCGACCCTCAAACCCCTGTGCCCGAAAAGAGCCCTAGACATCAACACAGCTGCAAACGTTCGAACCGCACGGGCACAAGGACAGACCGCAGGCTGGAAGACTGAAAAACTCTGCAGATGACCTGGGAGACCCGAGCCCTGAAACAAGGAACGTGGGGAACCTGATCAACCCAAAGCACATCCCAAGACACGGTACGCAGGTAACGGCAAAAAGCGCAACCGGACAACACAGGACGCACCTCCGCCCAAACTAATGAAGCATCAATAACCCAAGAACCCCTCCGGAAAACAACCGTCTCGACCGTCGCCAGAACAGAGGAAGGCTGCAAACGTACAAACCTACCACCAGTACCAAAGAGCAGAAACTTGAACAGAAGGGGCTACCACAAACCGAGGAGAAGATAAGAAGACACCCTGATCAAGGCCCAGGACGGCTCAGGCGACGCATGAGCAGGCCGGAGATGAAACAAAACACGTGAAAGCGTACGAAAGAGGGCAGATGTGACGTCCACCCCGAACGCAAGCCGGAGCAGCTCCCCCAGTGCCGCACAAAATGAGCTGACAGTAAGAAACATCAAATACTGTAACTGTAGTCCTGAAAACCCAAGAAAGGACAAGACAACACAATGTGAAAGAAGAGAACCTACGAAGAGCAAGAAAAAGTGCATAGAAACACCAGGGACGTCATACTGTCGCCAAGATGAAGCTCGCAGGTGGGACACCATCAACAAAGCCACCTGATCACCATAGAGATGGTGATACCCGCGTCAAAATACCAGACGCGAAGAGCCGAAGAGAAGGCAGAAGCAGTCATGTACAAAACCGATCTGACCTGCTGAAAGAGGCGGAGCCGCGGGAAAACGCCCTGGGTTCGGACACCTATCAAGCAGCGTCTGAAAATAAAGCTGGCCCGGCCATCAAGGAACCATAAGGACTACTCTCGTGGGAATGGGCTCCAACCGAGCCAGAACCCAAAGCAACAGCTGGACCGGGAGAAAAGGAACAGGTTCCCCCACCTTGACCAGTCCTGCCGAAACGCATCCACCGTGAACGCCTCGCAGGCGGGTAAAAGCGCCACATAAAATGGGCGACGCCTAGACCACGCCAACTCGAAGACGTCCATGGCCAGGAGTCCATAAGTCCGGCAGAGCCTATGAAACGAATTGGTGATGACTGGCCAATCCGCGAACAGAGGACTGAACCGAGACAGCTGTTCGCCAGGACGCAGGACAACCCCGGACATGAACCTCACGGTTAACCAAACCCCAAGAGGCCAGCAAACGAGCCACTCTAAGGAACCAACCCCAAAGGTCAACACCGAAGAGAAACCCTGTGGTTCCGGCAAAGAACCGCCAGAGAACAGTCCGAATGGAGCTGAATGGTAGAACACCAAGTAACCCAAACCCTCCGAAGCGCAAACCAGTCAGCCACGAACTCCCGAGCCGTGCTGTGAGTCTGACGGACAGACAGACCCCACCATCCCCGGCCGACCTGGTGAGCACTGGTTACAAAGCCCCAGCCGAGAGATGACCCGTTCGTGAACACATCGAGCGAAGGCTCGGGGAGGTGCCAAGGCACAGAACCCCGAAAACCCCAAAGAGAAAGCTGGTGACGCAGCACCAACACAAGATCCCCAGAGGAAGAAACCCAACGATTGCAAGAGAGGCAGAAGGGCAGTCACCGAAGGAACCAAACAGACGCCGAAGCCAAACCCGACCCAGCGGGCAGACCAGCACGTCGAAGTTCAGACACCCGTACAACTCAACACATGGCAGTGAACGCCACACAAGGCAAACACCACCTAGGAAACTGAGGGTAGAGAAGCGTCTATCCCGGTTGACATTAGCTTACGAACTGAAGCTAGGCAGCCGGCGCAGTAGGTCCAGGGCGGGGAGGGCTGCGTGGACAATCGGCGGGCAGTAAAGTGTGATGTTTGCTTGGGATTGTAGGGAGTTTCTACCTCTCTGTTCATTTTTTTGTTTTAGTTTTTTACCATGTGGGGTTTGTTTTGTTATGCCTACCTTCCTGGGTGCCTGACCCCGGTCGATGGCAGATAAGGAAAACCCCAACCACAAGGGGGTTTTCCAGGGCCATTGCTCCCTGAAACCTCTCTGAAGGGGCCAGGTTCTGGCGCTGGTCCCTGGTAGGTCTGAACTCCTTAGCTAATGTCCCGGTCTAATATAACATATATTAGCCCGATAAGCTCCAGGGAGCCGTAGGGGCTCCCCACAGAAAAAAAAAAAGTTTAATGTAATAAAACACCATTTTCTGGTTGAGACCCGGAGGCTTCCCGGAGTCATCAAGGCTGATAGGCTAATGTCAGACTTTGGCATCAGTCATGTGTATGGAGTTCTGTGGGCCTACCGGGGACCACGAGCCAGAACCTGGCCCCCTCAGAAGAGGCACGAGGAGCAATTTCCTATAGAAACCCCCGTGTGGTTGAAAGAATTCTATTTCTGCCATTGACCAAGTCAGGCACCCAGCAAGTTAAGCGTCCCAAAACAAACCCCTATTCTGGTGAAAATTGCTACAAAAAGTCAAACAAGTGGATACAACTCCCCAAAAAGAAACGAGCAAACGAGCATGACGTCACATGTCGCCGCGCCGTTGTCTGCGCAGCTCCCCCCTCCCTGGCAGGGAAACGGGGGAAACCCCAGACCCCCGCACCAGCCATACACCCTTCAGTTCTGAGGCTGGACATCAAAACACGTGAAAAACCGCCGACCGGGGGAAGGGATGGATGGCGGGGAGCCTCCGGGTCTCACCCAGATATTGGCATTTCATTACATTCAACGCTGATTTTCTGGGGGAAGACCCCTTTTGGCTCCCCGGAACTAACTACCCACATAGAGGGACTTACCCGAGGCGCGATCACTGCTCACTCCTCAACCCAAAGTCGAGACAACTGGCTGCAACTGCCAACCCAAAGCGACACAGGCCAGACTAGGGCCAAGAACGTTCACGAGGTAGCACGCAGCCAAGACCCTGTTCGACTGCCAAAAACCCCGCGCCCGAAAGTCAGCCCAGGACATGTTGCCAAAGACGGAAGCAAGAGCAACAAACTTACGAATGTTATGGGCACGGGGATAGACCGCAGGCTGGCTAGTCTTAATAATCTTGCGCATGACCTGGGAGACCCGCACCCGCGAACAGGGAAGAAGGGAAACCGATTCAACTCAAAGTGCGTCCCCGGACACAGAAGCAGTGGCACGCAAATAACGGAGGAGGGACGAAACTGGACACAAAGGATGATGCACCCCCGGCCTGACCAACCAAGCATCAATGACCCAACGGCTGCTATCCAGAGGACCCCTCCAGAAAGCATCCGTCTCATTCTTCGCCAGAAAAGAAGGAGACGACTGCAGACGACGAAACCAATCGGCATGACCAAAAGAGAAGAAACCTTTGTGCCAAAGGAGACCATGAAGCTCCCTGACCCGACCCCCAGAGGCCAATGCCAACAGGAAAAGAGCCTTCGAGAAATAATCCTGAACCGAAGGGGCCACAACAGATCGAGGAGACGAGAGAAAAGAGAGCACTCTGTCCAATGACCAGGACGGCTTAGGCGGTGCATGGGCAGGCCAAAGGTGAAACAACGCACTAGACAGCTTGCAAAACGGTGCAGAAGTAACGTCAATAGTGAAAGCAAGCTGAAGCGGCTCTGCCAGTGCCACATGATACGAGGCAACAGTATCTGACATAAGATGACGGTCCTGGAACAACCAAGAGAGAAAGGACAACACTACCAGAACCGAAAGCAAAGCTCAACGACGAAGAGTCAAAAAAGACCGGAAGGACCGCCAGGAAACTTTATACTGCCACCAAGACGAAGCCCGCAGGTGGGACTAACAAGAAAACCACCTGATCACCATAGAAATGATGATGAACTCGAGTCAAAAATACCATACGCGAAGACTCGAAGAGAAGATCGAACCAGCCACGTGATGCACCGGTCCGATCTGCTGGGAGAGATGGAGCTGCGGGAAAACCTCCGGGTTTGGACACTGAGCAAGCAGTGCCTGAAACCACGGCTGGGCCGGCCACCACGGGGCCAAGAGAACTACTCTCCCCTGGTACATCTCCAAGCAAGTCAGAACCTGGAACAACAGCTGAACCGGGAAAAAGACTTACAGGAACCCCCCCATCTCGACCAGTCCTGCCGAAAGGCATCGACCCCTACAGCTTTGCAGTCAGGGAAGGGCACCACATACAGCGGAAGACGTCGCGACCACACCGACGTGAAGAGGGCCACCTGGGGCGCCCGAACGTCTGGCAGAGCCAACGGAAGGAGTTGGTGTCGACCGTCCATTCCGTGGACATGGGAACGAAACGAGACAGGCCTTCTGCAAAGACGTTGGACACTCCCCAAACGTGAACTGCCAGGAGAGCCAAACCCAGAGAACTCAGCAGACGAGTCACCCAAAGCGACCAGCACCAAAGAGCCAAGGACCCCATCGAACCTCCTCGGTTCAGAAAATGAACCACCGGGAAGCGTTCCGAATAGAGCCGGATCGTCGATCTGCGGGCGACCCGAGCCCTCCGAAGAGCAAACCACACAGCTGCGATCTCCCGCACCGTACTGTGGACCCGACGGAAGGACGGACCCCACCGGCCCTAGCCAGCCTGGTGAGCACTGGTCACAAATCCCCAGCCGAGAGATGACACGTCCGTGAACACATTGAGCGAGGGCTCAGGTAGGCACCAAGGCACTGACCCCCCCCCCCCAAAAAAAAACGAAAAGGAAGCCGGCGACGCAGCAGCTAATGCAAGACCCCCCAGGGGCCAAACCCAGCGATCGTGTGAAAGGGAAAGGGACGTACCCGAAGGAACCAGAACAGCCGATGAAGCCAAACCCGACCTGGCGGGTAGACCATCATCGCAAAGTTCAGGCTCCTGCACAGACCCTCGAGCAACCGACGGGTGATCCTGGAGCCCCCCAGAAACAGGCGCATGCGGGATCACAGCTGTAGGAGAGACTCCGGAGGAAGAGACAAGGAAGCGGACTGAGGGTCGCACATAAGACCCAGCCAGGTCCGAACCTGGGAGGAAACCAGATGGGACTTCCTCCAGCTCACCAAGAACCCGAACCCGGCAAGCTGGGAAAGAACCAAATCCCTGGTTAGCAGAGAAGAGGACTGGCTAGGAGCCCAAACCAGTCAGTCATCGAGGTAGGCCAACACCTGAATACCTAAAAGACGAAGACGGGCCAAAACGACCTAGGTAAGGCGTGTGAACACGCAAGGTGCCAGACTCAACCTGAACGGCAGACAACGAAAGTGGTAACCTTGATGCCCCACAATAAAACCGAGCCAGTCCCTGAAACCCGGATGAATCGAGACATGCTAATAAGTGTCCCGAAGGTCCAGGGACACCATCCAAGAGCCCGGCGCCAACAGGAGCCGAACCTGGGGCAGCGTAGTCATCCGAAAGGAGGGGAAATGAACCCAGGGGATCAGACGGGTCAAGTCCAGAATGAACCTCAGGTCCTCACAGTCCCATTTTGGTACTGGGAACAGACGGGAAACCCTCCACACCCACTCCAAGATGACTCAATAGAGCGCAGGGGAAGAGGCCTGCCCCGTCAGCCCCGAACCCCCTGAAGGAGGAGGGGGGCATCCAACACAACCGCAGGCCGAAGGAAACGACCTGAAGCACCCACAAATTGTGGGACCAGGCATGAGCGAACAGCACAAGCCTCCCCCCATCGCCCTGTCAATGGGGCGAATTGCTAAAGGGCCGGCACCCCTTACAAGACCCAGAACCCCGCACAGAGCGAACACCACGCCGACCAGACAAAGGTGGGTCTGAAGGCGGGGGCCAGACCCAAAACTGACACCAGTGGCCTACCTCAACGAGAGGAACCCTGAGCCCTGGCACAACACCTCAAGGAAGCCCCTTTCCCCCCGGGACCCAGGAGAACTAACAAGTCAGACATAGGACGACAACTAGCCAAAGCAGCCTGCAAATACTGCGCCACGGCAGAATCCGCAAAAAAACAGAGGACAAAAAGGAGATGACATCCTAAGAGCCAGGGCCCAGGCAGATTCCAGAGAGGAGGCAAGCACTGCCTGCAGACACGCGAGCCAGTAAGCATAAAACAGCGAAACCGCATCCCACAGGATAGGCCCAAAGAGCTTCAACAAGGCAGCCGATGAGCGAGCTGCTGAGCCCAAGGCACCGGACCCAGGAACGGCCCCAAGTGTCCCCACATCCTCCTCAAGCCAATCCGAAGACAGCTCCAGGAGGGAAAAGAAACACAAGGCTGAAGCCAATAGGCCACAGACGCACAAGTCCCCAGCAATCTGTGCAGCCGAAAGGGAGGGAACCTGCACATGGAGCTGCACGATACCAACATCCCGGGGAAGGGCAGGGGCAAACAAGCAGTACTTACAGGGCACATAGGGACGATAACCCTAGGCGCATGCAGCCCGAGTACTGTAGAATAACTCCTAGCTCGCACACCCCTGGAGGACAGTAACCACATGCAAAGCACAGTGCTGAAAATCACTGGAGCCAGAGCACATGACCTTAGCTTCTAGCATCAGCCTTAGAACTGAAGGGTGGATGGCTGGTGTGGGGGTCTGGGGCTCCCCCTTCCCCTCCTGGGAAGGGGGGGAGCTGCGCAGACAGCGGCGCGGTGACGTGTGACGTCATGCTCATTTGCTCGTTTCTTTTTGGGGAGTTCTATCCACTTCTTCAGCTTTTTGTAGCAATTTTCACCAGAATAGGGGTTTGTTTTGGGACGCTTACCTTTCTGGGGTGCCTGACCCAGTGGCAGGTCATAGAATGGCAGACATAGAATGTGTCCAATCACACGGGGTTTCTATAGGCCATTGCTCCCCATGCCTCCCTGAGGGAGCCAGGTTCTGGCTCGTGGTCCCCGATAGGCCTCACAACTCCATACACATGACTGATGCCAAAGTCTGGCATTAGTATATCAGCCTGGATAGCTCCAGGGAGCCGAAGGGGCTCCCCCCAGAAAGTGCACAAGCAGGAAGAAGCAGCACACAAGCAGGAAGCAGCAGCAGCACACAAGCAGGAAGCAGCAGCAGCACACAAGCAGGAAGCAGCAGCAGTACACAAGCAGGAAGCAGCAGCAGCACACAAGCAGGAAGCAGCAGCAGCACACAAGCAGGAAGCAGCAGCAGCACACAAGCAGGAAGCAGCAGTAGCACACAAGTAGGAAGAAGCAGCACACAAACAGGAAGAAGCAGCACACAAACAGGAAGAAGCAGCAGCACAAGCAGGTAGAAGCAGCAGCACAAGCAGGAAGCAGCAGCACACAAGCAGGAAGAAGCAGCACACAAGCAGGAAGAAGCAGCACACAAGCAGGAAGCAGCAGCACACAAGCAGGAAGCAGCAGCAGCACACAAGCAGGAAGCAGCAGCAGCACACAAGCAGGAAGCAGCAGCAGCACACAAGCAGGAAGAAGCAGCAGCACAAGCAGGAAGCAGCAGCACACAAGCAGGAAGAAGCAGCACACAAGCAGGAAGAAGCAGCACACAAGCAGGAAGAAGCAGCACACAAGCAGGAAGAAGCAGCACACAAGCAGGAAGCAGCAGCAGCACACAAGCAGGAAGCAGCAGCAGCACACAAGCAGGAAGCAGCAGCAGCACACAAGCAGGAAGCAGCAGCAGCACACAAGCAGGAAGCAGCAGCAGCACACAAGCAGGAAGAAGTAGCACACAAGCAGGAAGAAGCAGCACACAAGCAGGAAGAAGCAGCACACAAGCAGGAGGAAGCAGCACACAAGCAGGAAGAAGTAGCACACAAGCAGGAAGAAGCAGCACACAAGCAGGAAGAAGCAGCACACAAGCAGGAAGAAGCAGCACACAAGCAAGAAGAAGCAGCACACAAGCAGGAAGAAGCAGCACACAAGCAGGAAGAAGCAGCACACAAGCAGGAAGAAGCAGCACACAAGCAGGAAGAAGCAGCACACAAGCAGGAAGAAGCAGCACACAAGCAGGAAGAAGCAGCACACAAGCAGGAAGAAGCAGCACACAAGCAGGAAGAAGCAGCACACAAGCAGGAAGAAGCAGCACACAAGCAGGAAGAAGCAGCACACAAGCAGGAGGAAGCAGCACACAAGGAGGAGGAAGCAGCACACAAGCAGGAAGAAGCAGCACACAAGCAGGAGGAAGCAGCACACAAGGAGGAGGAAGCAGCACACAAGCAGGAAGAAGCAGCACACAAGCAGGAAGAAGCAGCACACAAGGAGGAGGAAGCAGCACACAAGCAGGAAGAAGCAGCACACAAGCAGGAGGAAGCAGCACACAAGGAGGAGGAAGCAGCACACAAGCAGGAAGAAGCAGCACACAAGCAGGAGGAAGCAGCACACAAGCAGGAGGAAGCAGCACACAAGCAGGAAGAAGCAGCACACAAGCAGGAGGAAGCAGCACACAAGGAGGAGGAAGCAGCACACAAGCAGGAAGACCAGAAGCAGGGAGGGCACTAATTCACGAGAACAAGGAATGGTAGAGATACTAGATAAAATTCTATCGCAAATAAATGGATTGTATTACTGTACCTTTAACTTTTTGTAACTTAGTGTGGAGGATGGTCTATGCCTCTTAATGTACGAGCAAATCTCGTCCAAACGCTCCTCTTGGTGTTTGGAAAGAAATATTGCTTGAACAATCAATTGCTTCATGGAATATGGATGAGTTTGGGGATTCTGCAGAATTTTTGTTTCATTATATAATAGCAAATGAATATTGCCTGACACTTACTATTCTACGTATTGGGCTCATCTCTACCATTGACAAAAGCTGCCAGGCATTGGTTGTGCCTTTGTAGGAACGGCTTCCTACACTAGTTGGGCAGGGTGGGTGAAAATGGATATAGGAAAGTGAGCTTCAAAGTAATGTACTCACACATTGATGGGATTACCAACAAAGCAAGTGAACTGGCAGAAAGGGCAGGAAGAAAATCCAGATGTAATAGAACTCACAGAAACAAAATTGTCAGGAGTCATAACAAATGCTGTTTCTAAAAGACTACTATATGAGGAGGTGGAGGAGTGGCCCTGCTGATAAGGAAGGACTGGAGTTTTGATGAGATGGAAATTCCAGGTTGTGACAGATTCAGAGATTACATAACAGGAACTTTGACAGTGGGTGAACCTAAGATAATAGTGGCAGTCATTTACAACCCTCCACTAAATGACAGAAGACCCAGATGGAAGTTTAACAAAAACAACATGGCAACCAATAAAATAAAATGAGAGAGAGAGAGCAGCTTCAGTTGCTTGCAGGAATGGATCCAGACTCTTAATCATGGGTGATTTCAACCATGGAAAGATAGACTGGGAGAATGGAGACCCACATGGGGGCAAAGATACCTGGAGAGCTAAACTCTTGGAGGTGGCAACAAGGAACTTTATGAGCCAACAGGTCAAGGGGACCCACAAGAATGAGAGGGAATGACGAACCAGCTAGACTCGAACTGATATTCACTTTGAATCAGTCAGAAATAAGGGAAGTCAAATTTGAAGCTCCCATAGGAATGAGTGACCACAGTGTTTTGATATTTGAGTATCTGGTAGAGGTTGGGAAAACCTATTCAAGGATAGGATTGGAAAGGAAAAGACTTAATTACCAAAGAGGAAAATATGACAAGATGAGGAACTTCCTAATGGGAATACCATGGGAAACAGAACTCTGAAAAAAGACTGTACAGGATGTGATGGATTATGTCACCCAAAAGTACCAGGAAGCTGCAGACAGGTTTATCCTGGCCCAAAATGCGAAAAATGAAAAGCAATAGAAGAATCCATGATTCAATCAGGAATGTATGGTAGCGATGCAACTGAGTAAAAGAACATTGAGAAAATACAGGAATAACAGAACACTAGAGAGCAGGGAGAGATATCAAAGGGCCAGAAATGAGTACCTCAAAGTGAGGAGAGAAGCAGAGACAGAGTATGAAAATGACATCATGAGTAAAGCTAAGACCCAACCAAAACTGCTCCACAGCCACATCAGGAGGAAAACAGCAGTGAAGGAACAAGTGATGAAACTGAGAAAAAGGGAGAACAGATACACAGAGAATGGCAAGGTGGTGTGTGAATAACTCAACAAGAGATTCCAGGACGTCTTCACAATAGAACAAGGAGAAGTCCCTGCACTAAATGAGGAGGCAAACCATGCAACCCTGGAGGAATTTGACCTCACCAGTGATTATATATCTATCTACAGTATCTGTCTCTCTCACTATCTATCTACCTGTGTGTATATGTATGTGTGTATATATATATGTATATGTATGTATATATGTATGTATATATGTATGTATATATGTATATATGTATGTATATATGTATGTATATATGTATGTATATATGTATGTATGTATGTATGTATATGTATGTACATATGTATGTACATATGTATGTATATATGTATGTATATGTGTATATATGTATGTATATATGTATGTGTGTATATATGTGTGTATATGTGTGTATATATGTGTGTATGTATATGTGTGTATATATGTGTGTATGTATATATGTGTGTATGTATATGTGTGTATGTATATATGTGTATGTATATATGTGTGTATGTATATATGTGTGTATGTATATATGTGTGTATGTATATATGTGTGTATGTATATATGTGTGTATGTATATATGTGTGTATGTATATATGTGTGTATGTATATATGTGTGTATGTATATATGCTTTGAGAGCTACGCTCGTGGTGTCCCGTCTTCCCAGCACTCTTTGTCATATAACGCTTTGAAACTACTGACGGTCTTGGCCTCCACCACCTTCTCACTTAACTTGTTCCAACCGTCTAGCACTCTATTTGCGAAGGTGAATTTTCTTATATTTCTTCGGCATCTGTGTTTAGCTAGTTTAAATCTATGACCTCTTGTTCTTGAAGTGCCAGGTCTCAGGAAATCTTCCCTGTCAATTTTATCAATTCCTGTTACTATTTTGTATGTAGTGATCATATCACCTCTTTTTCTTCTGTCTTCTAGTTTTGGCATGTTTAATGCTTCTAACCTCTCCTCGTAGCTCTTACCCTTCAGTTCTGGGAGCCACTTAGTAGCATGTCTTTGCACCTTTTCCAGTTTGTTGATGTGCTTCTTAAGATATGGGCACCACACAACAGCTGCATATTCTAACTTTGGCCTAACAAAAGTCATGAACAATTTCTTTAGTATATCGCCATCCATGTATTTAAATGCAATTCTGAAGTTAGAAAGCATAGCATAGGCTCCTTGCACAATATTCTTTATGTGGTCCTCAGGGGATTGTTTTCTATCTAGAACCACCCCTAGATCTCTTTCTTTATCAGAATTCTTTAAAGATTTCTCACATAATATATAGGTTGTGTGGGGTCTATGTTCTCCTATTCCACATTCCATAACATGACATTTATTAACATTAAATTCCATTTGCCAAGTGGTGCTCCATCTACTTATTTTGTCCAGGTTTTCTTGAAGGGCATGACAATCATCTAAGTTTCTTATCCTTCCTATTATCTTAGCATCATCAGCAAACATGTTCATATAATTCTGTATACCAACTGGTAGATCATTTATGTAGACGATAAACATCACTGGTGCAAGAACTGAACCCTGTGATACTCCACTTGTGACATTTCTCCAGTCCGATACATTGCCTCTGATCACAGCCCTCATTTTTCTATCAGTCCTTATTATAAAGTAATCCTTATTATAAAGTAATTTTTTAGTTAAGGCCTTAAGAATGATTTATGATTTTAGTTATGATATTAGAATGTGTATAATGTTATGTTAGTATGATTGTGTATGTCTGAAAATACTCAGAGAGGAAGTAGTAGTTACTTCCATCTCTAGTGTTTTAGTACAGTAATAAGAATTATATCAGACATTGGTAACTAGTAGGAGGAGGGTCTCTCTGTGTAGCCACAGTGCCTGGAGCCTCAGTAGCAAACAGTGGGGCCTGGTGAAAACATACAGTATTAGTTAAGTCTTTTGTAATTTTTCTGCTGCTAGGCCGTAGTGTGTTTAATCAGCCTAAAGTCTAAATAAAGTATATATTCACAGGCTTTTTGTCTAACAAAAAAAAAATTACAACTTGCTTACATGAAAGAATATGGTAAGTTCACACTCTAAACAATCATTATGATCCCACAAAATCCTATTCTTTTGCTTTCCAGATGTTATAGGGAACATAAAAGTTTTGACAGACCTTGGCACTGGCACCATGATGACTGTGGTGCTGGTCAGGAAAATGGAGTGAGGTAAGGTTGTTGTCCTCTGCTGTGGAGCCCTGAAAGCCATTGTGACAAGACTGTTCACGTGACTCCTCAGTCTCTTTCTGGTTTATTAGCGATGTTTCTGTAAGTGAAAAAACCAGCATCAAGTATAATGAAATGGCAATTTCTGGGTAAGCCCTGGTGGCTCCCTGAAGCTACCATCGCGATGTAAGTGCCATCAGTTGTAGCGTTCTCTGGCCGACTGGGGACCCAGCACTAGAACCTGGTCCCCTCAGAGAAACAGGGAGTTGTGGCATTTATGTATCAAGTTATTCATTTATGCCACCACTAAGGAAGGCACCCAGAAAGTCATCGAGATAAAAAAAAAAAAAAGCCGACTGCCTCCAAGACCTGCAGACTCGAAAACGGCCATAGAACTCGGTAAACTATGTAAACAAACACACACACTAAACTATGTCCAGATGTTTCACTACATATTATCTTAGAATGATGTCTAGGCAAGTATGGAGCTGTTAATTGAGCAGCCCGTTCTCGCAAGCATTCCCAACATCAAGAAACTGTCATACTAAAGTGTCCTACCCTAAGCTACCAGAGGGTCCTCAGACAGAAAACAGGACATTACGTCAATTTCGCGAGCCGCTACCATTTTCTAGTACGACAGTTCTTGGCCTTATGTATACAGTATTTCAAAATGAGACGTGCTATTAGAAGGGTGGGTTGAACTGAGGGTGCAGGTGGTTGTTGAGCAAACCATAAATTATATTCATGATTAACAACACAAGAAAAATGCAGCATCACGAACAAGTACACTGCATTAACAAAACATACACTTGTGTAACAAGGTGTTATCAGGTGGTGTCAGGGGGAGGCAGGTCGTGTCAGGGGAGGCAGGTGTTGTCAGGTGGTGTCATGGGAGGCGGGTGGTGTCAGGTGAGGCAGGTGGTGTCAGGGGAGGCAGGTAGTGATACCTGGTTGATACCTGGTTGATGGGGTTCTGGGAGTTCTTCTACTCCCCAATCCCGGCCCGAGGCCAGGCTCGCCTTGTGAGAGTTTGGTCCACCAGGCTGTTGCTTGGAGCGGCCCGCAGGGCCACGTACCCACCACAGCCCGGCTGATCCGGAACTTCTCTTAGAAAACCGTCCAGTTTTCTCCATTCTTCTTAGAAAACCGTCCTGTTGCTGTTATTACACTATACACACATGCTATATGTAAGTATCTATCTTGTTAACAAGACTGCAGTGTAAGGGTTAACAAGATTGGAGCAATGTAAGGGTTAACAAGACTGGAGCAGTGTAAGGGAGTTAACAAGATTGGAGCAGTGTAAAGCTTAACAAGATTAGAGCAGTCAATTATAATAGTAACAATTATAGTAACAAGATTTGTCCACATCGGCTTTGGACCTCTCTAAAAAAAAATAGGAAACACACCTATTGCACCTCTGGTTTTCAATGGGTTTTTTTGCACATCCTGTCATGTCTCCTGGTCTCATGTGGTGTTATTTCTGTGTGCAGATTTGGAACCAGTCACTCAAAAATTTTCCAGGGGTAAATTATTATGTATCTCTTTCGCCTGCACTCTAAAGAACACAGATTTAAACATTTAATAAGTCCCAGTAATTTAGATGTTTTTATAGAGTGGGTTCTAGGACATAGTTCTAACCTTGCTGATTCAGGTGAGGTCTACTGGCTGTGATAGCAGTAGAAGTACCAACATTTGTGGGGTCAGGGGATGACGGTTCGGTCAGGTCCACACACTCCGGTGATGGTGATCTCTCCTCCTCTGGTGACTTGGGGATTGCTTCCCTACCACTGCCAGAGCCTTGTGGACAGACAGGCACTAAGCTGCTGTTCAAAGAAATGATAACTTTAATCAGCCTACTGCATTCGTCTTGCACAATGAAATCACGTTAACACGATATTATCAATAAGGCAATCAGTAGGAGCCACGAGGATTCAAATCCGTTCACGTGGTACTCCCTAGACCACTACACCTATTCATGGTCAAAAGCAATGCAACCTTAAGATTCCTTGAATCTGCTAGGAGTCCTGAGGTTTCCAACTGAAGCCCAATTATGGATTTCACACACTGCCCCCATACTTGAGGGCTTCCAAATAAGCAGGATCGAATCAATCTCATGGCTCCTACCAATTTTCTCACTGCACACTCACTTTATAAGATTTACTATGTCTTGCTACATCACATATTCTTGGTAACCTACTGCTCAATCAGCACAGTATCCAAGAGCAATCCTAATTCAATGCCGAATCAATGTCATCAACGCTGATTAAACGCTCGATTAATGCTGATAATGTAGATTCCATGTCAAACCAATGCCACTCTTGGATATTGTGGCCACTAGGTGCACAGTACGGTATGGTATGAGATGTTCAAGCAAAACCTGACAGGCTGAGTTGCCCCACTATCTTGAGGTTATCTTGAGATGATTTTGGGGCTTAGCGTCCCCGCAGCCCGGTCCTCGACCAGGCCTCCTTTTTGTTACAAACCACCCCCCTCCCCAGGTTGCAGCCTGTAGCAGCTGTCTAACTCCCAGGTACCTATTTACTGCTAGGTAACAGGAGCATCAGGGTGAAAGATACTTTTTGCCCATTTGTCTCCGCCTCCACCGGGGATCGAACCCGGAACCTCAGGACCACGAATCCGAAGCGCTGTCCTCTCAGCTGTCAGGTGCCCTTCTACCTGACATCTAGTCAGGCGCCCACTATCATGCAGAGGACATAGCAGGAATCACACACTATCATGCAGAGGAGATAGCAGGAATTGCACAATATCATTCAGAGGAGACAGCAGGAATCACACATTATCATGACAGCAGGAATCGTACACTATCATGCAGAGGAGGCAGCAGAAATCACACACTATCATGCAGAGGAGACAGCAGGAATCATATATTATCATGCAGAGGAGACAGCAGGAATCATATATTATCATGCAGAGGAGACAGCAGGAATCATATACTATCATGCAGAGAAAACAGGAGAAATCACACACTATCATGCAGAGGAGACAGCAGGAATCTCTCACTATCATAAAGAGGAGACAGCAGGAATCTCTTACTATCATAAAGAGGAGACAGCAGGAATCTCTTACTATCATGCAGAGGAGACAGCAGGAATCACATACAATCATGTAAAGGAGACAGCAGGAATCTCTCTTATCATGCAGAGGAGACAGCAGGAATCTCTTACTATCATGCAGAGGAGACAGCAGGAATCACATACTATCATGTAAAGGAGACAGCAGGAATCTCTCTTATCATGCAGAGGAGACAGCAGGAATCTCTTACTATCATGCAGAGGAGACAGCAGGAATCACATACTATCATGTAAAAGAAACAGCAGGAATCACACACTATCATGCAAAGGAGACAGCAGGAATCTCTCTTATCATGCAGAGGAGACAGCAGGAATCTCTCTTATCATGCAGAGGAGACAGCAGGAATCTCTCACTATCATAAAGAGGAGACAGCAGGAATCTCTTACTGTCATGCAGAGGAGACAGCAGGAATCATTCCAGCATATTGTGCATCTTCATAAAGGAGATTTTGGTTGCAGGATGTAGGCTCAAGATAATTTCCTTGGACTCAAGGCTGAGGAACAACTCAAGACAAGCCAAATCATATGATGAAAGCCACACTAAACTACTTCAGGAAAAATATCTGGAGGGTTGTTTGTCCTCTAGTCAAACAGTCCCAGATAGGACAGGTCAGGCATATTTCCTTTCACCTGAATTCTCTATTCACCTGGGAGATAGGTAACTGTTGAGTTGCATCCTGGGAAGGGTCAGTAGTTGGCCTGGGGGTAGGGGGGCAGATCTCGGTATGCCTAAATGCAGGCTTCCTGTCCTGGACAAAGGGAATTATTATAGCCCAGTAATGCAGCTATAGCAGAAAGCTATAATCTGTGGCACACACAAAAACTTGCATATCATTTTCAAGAATTATTTATATGAATACCCCAAATTTAAGGGGGCACAGTGATGAAAGATTTTTCCAAATACAAAATAGTTAAAAATTCTAAGCCCCAGCTGGCCCCAAGGGCCAGGCAAATGCCGAGCAGCAAGAACCTCTACGGGAATGGTTCCCGAACGCCCCAGGGAAGATAACCCTGTTATGCAAGGGCAATACTCACAGGGCGCTTAGGGAAGTCAGCCACTAAGGTCATGCAGCCCAGGCACTGATGAGGTACTCCTGGCCACCGCACAACACAACACACGGCAGTGAATGCCACACAAGGCAAACACCGCCTAGGAAACTGAGGCCAGAGAAGCGTCTATCCCGGTTGACATTAGCTTACGAACTGAAGGTTGGCAGCCGGCACGGTAGGTCCGGGGCTTCCCCCTCCCCCTCTCGGGGCAGGGAGGGCTGCATGGACGATCGGCGCGGCAGTAAAGTGTGATGTTTGCTTGTTTGCTTGTTTCCTTGTGATTGTAGGGAGTTTCTACCTCTCTGTTTTTTTGTTTTAGTTTTTTACCATGTGGGGTTTGTTTTGTTATGCCTACCTTTCTGGGTGCCTAACCCCGGTCGATGGCAGATAAGGAAAACCCCATCCACAAAGGGGTTTTCCAGGGCCATTGCTCCCTGAAATCTCTCTGAAGGGGCCAGGTTCTGGCGCTGGTCCCTGGTAGGTCTGAACTCCTTAGCTAATGTCCCGATCTAATATAACATACATTAGCCCGATAAGCTCCAGGGAGCCGTAGGGGCTCTCCACAGAAAAGGTGAAACCTGTTGTAGAAGGAAGTGAAAAATCTTCAAAATAGAAATGCCCTTACAAACACAAAATTTACCAACCTCGTATTGGATGGAGTCGTAGAGCCAGCAGCAGCTGGCAGCATGTACTCTTGCCCATAGAGCGTAAATGCTTGCCTTACTAACTCCTTCTCCCAAACAGGATATATTTTCCATTTACTGGCACTCTTGATGAAGTACGGACGACTTAATAAGGTGGCTCTGATACAGTTCTGAGAAAGATCACAAAATTATTTTGGCAGACCAAACAAAACCTAGCATAGGTTGGCAGACCTAGCATAATCGTATTTTTTATGTGATGAAAATAACAAATCTATGAAATACTTAAGAGATATTCTTCAAAATGAATTGCATTCCTCCCTCTCTGTACAATAACAGTACTCTTATTGGCATACAGACAGGAAGGCCTAGGGAGAGGGAAAGAATTTTCCTGAATTTACCTGAAGGCCACCATTTCACTAGTGGCCTTGATGGGGACAAGAAGCCCTAAGGACCACCATCTAGATCCAGTGGCCTTAATGGGGAACAGGAAGCCCTAAGGACTACCATATATACCATAGACTACTATAGAACAACATGAAAGTGGAAGATCCAGACAATTTCTTTATGCAGGATATCCAAACCCCTGTAAATATAACAGATATCAACACGAGCGTACTAGACTTTGAAAGATAAATTGAAAACATGCCCATGCACTCGGCCCCAGGTCCAGATTCATGGAATTCAATATTTATAAAGAAATGCAAGATGCCGGAAGCACAGGCACTCAGTATAGTGTGGAGGAAGAGCTTGGACACAGGGGAGATACCAGATGCACTTAAAGTAGCAGACATAGCCCCTCTACACAAGGGAGGGAGCAAAGCATTGGCAAAGAATTATAGACCAGTTGCACTAACATCGCACATAATAAAAGTATTTGAGAGAGTGATTGGGAGTCAGGTCACCAATTTCATGGAGACCAATGACCTTCACAACCCAGGCCAACATGGATTTCGAGCGGGAAGATCATACCTCTCCCAGCTACTTGATCACTACAACAAAGTCACCGAGGCATTAGAAGAAAAACAGAATGCTGATGTGATATACACGGACTTCGCAAAGGCTTTCGATAAATGTGACCATGGCGTGATAGCACACAAAATGAAGTCAATGGGAATAACCGGTAAAGTAGGACGCTGGATACTCAGTTTTCCGTCAAACAGGACTCAGCGAGTAACAGTCAACCATATAAAATCTAGTCCAAGCACAGTTAAAAGCTCTGTACCTCAGGGTATAGTCCTTGCACCGCTGCTTTTCCTTATTCTCATATCAGATATAGACAAAAATACAAGTCACAGCTTCGTATCATCCTTTGCAGATGACACAAAAATCAGTATGAAAATTACCTCGGCTGAAGACATTGAAAAACTTCAAGCTAATATTAATAAACTTTTCGACTGGGCATCAGAAAATAACATGATGTTTAACGGTGATAAATTCCAGGTACTCAGGTACGGTAAAAATGAGGACCTTAAACATAATACAGGGTACAAAACACAATCAAATGTGCCCATAGTAGGAAAACAGCATGTAAAGGATTTGGGAATAATGATGTCTGACGACCTAACGTTTAGGGAGCATAACCAAGCAAATATTGCGTCGGCCAGAAAAATGATCGGATGGATTACGAGAACCTTCATATCCAGGGATCCCATCACAATGGTTGTACTCTTCAAGTCACTTGTGTTGTCCCATCTTGAGTACTGCTCAGTACTCACTTTCCCCTTCAGAGCAGGAGAGATTGCTGAAATAGAGGGAATACAGAGAACATATATGGCACGCATAGATGCGATAAAGCACCTAAATTATTGGGATCGCCTCAAAGCCCTCCAAATGTACTCACTAGAAAGAAGACGAGAGCGATATCAAATAATATACACCTGGAAGATACTGGAGGGCCAAGTACCAAATCTACACAGTAAAATAACAACGTACTGGAGTGAACGATATGGAAGAAAATGCAGAATAGAACCAGTGAAGAGCAGGGGTGCCATAGGCACAATCAGAGAACACTGTATAAACATCAGAGGTCCACGGTTGTTCAACACCCTCCCAGCAAGCATAAGAAATATTGCCGGAACAACCGTGGACATTTTCAAGAGGAAACTAGATTTATTCCTCCAAGGAGTGCCAGACCAACCGGGCTGTGGTGGGTCTGTGGGCCTGCGGGCCGCTCTAAGCAACAGCCTAGTGAACCAAACTCTCACAAGTCAAGCCTGGCCTCGGGCTGGGCTTGGGGAGTAGAACTCCCAGAACCCCATCAACCAGGTATCAACCAGACCGAAAATCGAGGGACAAGGTGTGGGAGCAAGCATAACAGACAGGGACACTTGAGCCCAAACCCTAGGGCCCAGACTCAAAACAAACAAAACGGAAAACCCGGTGTAAAATCAACACTCAAACGTTCCCAGAGGAACAGAAAACGGGCAGAAAACACCAGAAAAGCAAAGAAATGACAACAGGAGAATAAAACCCCGGAAAAAGGTGAAAAAACTCACCCAAGACGCTCGCTCGCACACCCAGGTGTATGTAAACAAACCACAACGCCGCCCTGGTGGCCACGCCGGGAAACCGGCAGAAGAAAATGGCCACCAGAACAGGGGGCTGTGACCGATGCAAAAGATATGAAAACACGCCAGCAAAAGTAGGAAGCAAGCAGACTGGATGGGCGAAAAACTCCGCCCAGAAACAGAAAACCCCGGCAGGGTCAAACAGCCCCAGAACATCCTCCACAGCCCCGGGAACCAGCAACAGAGGCCCCAGGGCACCGCCATCCTCCAAGCCCTCCGCCCTTAAAGAAAAGGAAGAGTCCAAAAGAAAGGCAGCAAGAAAGGATCGCTGGTAAGACCCAGAAGCTTTGGCCGGAGGAACAGGCTCGAAAACCTCTGTCCCCAACCCGAACAGGGCAGCCCCCTGAAACCGCCCAAGTCTCGGCCCCAACTAAACCCCGCCCCGACCCCGAAACCCGCAGATGGTTAGGAGCCGGGAACAGAGAGGGAAAGGGGCGAACAGCACCTAACCAAAACGGGGCGGCCCAGGGCATCCGAGTGGGAAACCAACCTAGCTTGTTGCAGCAACCTAACCTAGCTTGCAACACGGATGCCGCCTGTACTCTGAACAGTAATAACATCAGGAGAGTACTGGAGAACAAGCAGAGAATATCTCTCTCTGGGTCAAGGTGTCAGTGACCCAACAGGCAGCATGACGGAGGTAAAAGTGGCGACTGTCACCCGTAGCCAAGGGCACAGCAACCAACGATCCCGTACAAGATGGGTTGGAACCCGGAACACACATTCAATGGTCCACCGAGCCCCAATAGGGGTTTCCAGGGCCCGTAGGGGTAACAACTACCGGAAGCCCGGGCAAGGTGTTGCTAACCAGTTAAGAAACCCAAAAATAACAAGGGGTAGAGGATAACACTGAAAACCCCTGCTACGTGTACAATCACGGGGGCCTAGCAGAGGGCCACGAAACACAACCAGTGGAACTATAGCCACACTGGGCAGACCCACACCAGGCAAATGAAAATAAAAAACAAAAGAAAAACCCCGCCAAAGTACATTGTCTCCAGAGGCAACAGGAACCGATCACCGCTTAGGTGGCAGGTCGTGCAACACCTTGACACCCTAACCAGCACAATACCAGTCCCTACCCAGGACCAAACAAGGGCCCCAAGCCCCAGCTGGCCCCAAGGGCGAGGCAAATGTTCTTGCGAGCAGCAAGAACCTCTACAGGAATGGTTCCCGAACACCCCAGGGAAGACAACCCTGTCACGCATTGGCAGTACTCACAGGGCGCTTAGGGAAGGAAGCCCCTAAGCGCATGCAGCCCTGGTACTGATGATGAACACCTGGCCACCGCACAACACAACGCACGGCAGTGAACGCCACACAAGGCAAACACTGCCTAGGAAACTGAGGCCAGAGAAGCGTCTATCCCGGTTGACATTAGGTTACGAACTGATCCTAGGCAGCTGGCGCAGTGAGGTCCGGGGCTTCCCCCCTCCCCCTCTCGGGGCAGGGAGGGCTGCACGGACGATCGGCGCGGCAGTAAAGTGTGATGCTTGCTTGTTTGCTTGTTTTCTTGAGATTGTAGGGAGTTTCTACCTTTCAGTTTTTTGTTTTAGTTTTTTTACCATGTGGGGTTTGTTTTGTTATGCCTACCTTTCTGGGTGCCTAACCCCGGTCGATGGCAGATAAGGAAAACCCCAACCACAAAGGGGTTTTCCAGGGCCATTGCTCCCTGAGATCTCTCTGAAGGGGCCAGGTTCTGGCGCTGGTCCCTGGTAGGTCTGAACTCCTTAGCTAATGTCCCGGTCTAATATAACATACATTAGCCCGATAAGCTCCAGGGAGATGTAGGGGCTCCACACAGAAAACAATGAGTGTCACCTTGAGACAAGGGAACAGAGCAACCCTCAAACTCGCAGAAAGGGAGAGGGGATGCAAGATCTCCTCCATCGGACCCGAGAGCCCCCGCAGGGTTTTCCAGGGCCCCTAGACTGGGTCTGTTAAGGGTTATCCCAGGCAGGGCACTGCTAACTAGCGCCCCAAACTACCAAGCAAACTGCTTAAAGCTAAACTCACGGGACGTGTCCACTTACAAGGGCGAAGCAGGGGGTGCCACCACACAAAACGACCCTAATATAAGGAGGGTGGGAGAACTCAAGGCAGACTTCCCCACCAGGCAAAAAGAAAAAAACACGTAAGTGGACAACATACCCAGAGGGAACAGAGCCGGCCGCTGTTATAGGTGAAAACTAGCTACGCAGTACCCTGCGCCCCACCAGTGTGATAACTACCATTTACCCCAAGGCAAACAAGGGAGGAACCCCCCCCCCCCCACAAACACTCGGGGCAGCCCAATGCCAAACAGCAAAAGGCCACAGAAGTCGACCCAAGGGGACTTGTGGAAGAGAACCCCAAGCCCCAAGGGCGGTACTTACAGGGCACTCAGGGAAGGAGACCCTAAACACATGAAAGCACTGAAAAACAATGAACAGCACTGAGAGAAGACACTGAAGCTGGAGCCACACGACTATTCACAATCCCATCAGCCAAGGAACTGGGGCGGGGACTGCCAGCGTGAGGGTCTGGGGCTTCCCCTTACCCCTCCCGGGGAGGGGTGAGCTGCGCAGACATGCGGCGTGGCTCGAGTGATATCATGCTTGTTTGCTCATTTTTCTTTTGGGAAGTTCTGTCCACTCGTCTGACGATTTTCATTGTTAACCAGAATAGGGGTTTGTTTTGTGGCGCTTACCTTTCTGGGTACCTGTCCCAGTCGATGGCAGATATAGAATGCTCCAAATCACAAGTGCACTTCTATGGGCCAATGCTTCCCATGCCTCTGTGAGGGGGCCAGGTTTTGGCTCGTGGTCCCCGGTAGGCTCAAACTCCACCCACATCGACTGATGCAAAATAGTTAGGGTATCCATATCAGCCATGGATAGCCCTGGGGAGCCGTAGGGGCTCCCCAGGGCTATCCTGGGGAGCCTATCAGAGCACCTCCACCCAATACAAAAATATTCATTAATTTTCATGTTTTTCTTACATTTTGCAAACAATTGAATGCTTGTATGAATGCTTGTATTTCGAAAGAAGTTTTTCGTTTTGGTAGGGACGCGAGTCTTATTTTCCTCGGCTATCCCTAGGGCTATCCCTAGAAATAATCAGTGAAACATCCGAAGAGAACACAGGAGAACGCAGAAGTCGAGGAGAACGCAGAAGTCGAGGAAAATGCATTAGTCGGGTCTTTCATACTTCAGCGTCAGCAAAGTCGGGCATCATGTGTTGACAGATGCCAGACCAAATAGTCACCACACAACCTATCAGAGCACCTCCACCCAATACAAAAATAAATATTCATTAATTTTCATGTTTTTCTTACATTTTGCAAACAACTGAATGCTTGTATGAATGAATTTGTAATGCTTGTAAAACTTTGTTTAACTTTGATTTGTGTTTGACTAAATGAGTGTACTGTATGTGTGTACTCACCTATTTGTGCCGGCAGGATTGAGCATTGTGTGAAAACCTTACCTTATACAAGAGAAAAAACCTTACAAAATATGATGAACAAATAAATGTCAGTACTGTACCTGCATCTCTTTGTTATGGAGCTGGTAATATGGGTAGTGTTTCAAGATGTACGAGTATATGTAATCCAGCGAGCACTCTTTGTTTGGAACTGAAGAAATCGCCTGAACAGCCAGCTGGGTATTGGTATACGGAGGTCTTGTGCACTTCTGAAAATATGAAGGCAATGAGGCACACGAGACTTTAACCCCTTAACTGCGTTGCCTCCAAATATGACACCCCCACAGTGCGCAGGAAATAAATTCTCTGGAAAAAAATTCTTTTGATTTTTTAAAGTGTCAAAAACCCTTCCCTCAGTATGGGTACATAAAAAAAAAAATTGAAATTGTACTTACTTTGGCTGCTATGGGATCCGTAAGTTGGCGTGTGACGTCATCAATCCCCATTCGCCCGTGACGTATGCTCCCGGGGCGGGGCTCGCGAGTTGCCGCAAATATATTTTTGTTCATTTTTGCGCACAGTTTCAAATACATTTTATTTGTTTTTACGTGCTAATCCTATGTATAATGAACACGTACACTATATTATGGCAGTAAAACATCCGTACTGTCCGAAGACACTGTTACGTGCATGACACTTGTGTACACATATACTGCACATATTTACTATGTATCATGCTAATTTATGTATATATACAATCTATTTACACACTATACACTGTCACACACTATATACATTCACCATCAACACACTCAGAACACCTCGAGTGAGAGCAGCCACACCCAGCCAGTCTCCCTCACTCCAACATCTTACTCGCCAACATTGCTCCTTCCACTATTCTGTTATTGTTCTTATTACATTAATTACACATGTTATATATATATATACCAATCTACATGTTTTATTTACCAGAACTATGCAAGTAAGACAGTACTGTGTCCAAACAGTACAATTGCCACCATACACTGCATGAAAAATCACACAGCAGACAGCAGATGACGCTACGATTACTACGTAACCTCCCTCACCAAAATACCTCCTCTCAACATTCTCCTGTTGCTGACTATGGGCTCACCATAGCCCGTGCTACTTGGAACAAAAAATTCCAATCTCAAAGCGAATCTTAAACAACAACAACATCCTGTTGCTGTTATTACGCTATATACACAATGTATATACACATGTACATATGTGTTGCCCATAGCGAACCACTAAGCTAGTATGGTGAGCAAAACAAGAGTGGCTGCCATACACACACACAGAGGCTACCTCAATTCTCTCCCTCCCTCTCTCACCAAAATTCCTCCTTCCACAATACTACGCACAACGCTAATTAAAACCACAAATTATAATCAGTTTATAATTATAAATTATATACTGCTATTATCACAATCCTGATCACTAATTCCTGTAAATGAATAATTGACCACACGTTTATTTTGAAAAGGAACCTAAGAAATCATTTGAAGATTCCTAGATGGACGAAATAATGCTGTGGTGCTGTGGATAGCACTGTGAACATCGTGAACAGCATTGAATCACTGATATTTGAACATTGTACCCAGTCATTATCACACTCAGGCTCTTCTATAACACTATCATGGCTAAATAATACAAGTTATATATATATTTTGACATTATTAGGAGATGCTGTGGTCACACGCTGAACAGCAGTGCTGTGCGCTCATGCTGCGAGCGCCAGCCTTGGTTGCTCACACACTACTGAGGCTCCCACACCCGGGAATGTGGACCAAGATTTTTTTTAAAGATGGCGTCTGTTTACAAGAGCCCTGAGGAAGCTGATGTGAACCCCATGTAGCCGCGGGAGTTTTGAATGGAATGTGAAAAATACAAATACCCGGAGGCACGTTGCGCAAACCAGACCTGCGCCTACAGGTGCGTTGCGCAGTTTAAGGGTTGAGGTAAAGAACCATGAGGAGGAGAAGAACAATTTACGAAATAAATTAAGGATACAAACAGGATTATAACTCAATTGCAAGATGCTAAACTTAATGTTGCAACACACAGTCCACATTTCAAACTACAGTCACAATGAACACAAAATTTTACTTTTCTGCCTCCTGAACGTATGGCACCAGGATAGCGGCAGCGCTTTTGTCCTGAAGAATGTAGCAAAGTGGGGTTCTTGTTGTTTGCTGTGGCGCTGTGAACAGCGCTGTGACTAGGTTGCTCATTTGACCCTAGCAAATTCTCTTCATGCTTTTTCTGGTTTACTGATGATGTTTCTGTAAGTAAAATAAATGACTATTATTAAAAGGGTAATACATTTTCTTTTATAAATGCATTATTAAAAGATAAGGTTCAATCACAAAAGGGCGATCGAGGGAGGTAGCTCCAATCTCGCGTGACTGCGTTTTCGTGACACAGTTTTACCTCAAGACTTAAATTCTGAATCCCCCTTCCTCTATGCCCTTCAACAGGACATAGAGTACACTATACTGTATATAATTGAAGTTGTACTGAACACTGATAGCCTTGTTGACCAAATCACACACTAGAAAGTGAAGGGACGATGACGTTTTGGTCTGTCCTGGATCATTCTGAAGTCAATTGTGATGAGGGAAGGAGTTAAAGGCAATAAATCAGCATGAGAGAGGTGAGGAGAAGAAATTCTTAGAGGAAGAAGAGCAAGGCAAAAGGTACAAAAGGTAAGGTGAAATAAAGGGTATAGTAATAGAAATAAGAACATAAGAACACAAGAACAAAGGTAACTGCAGAAGGCCTATTGGCCTATTCCTATTTGAAGTGTAAACCATTTTGAAGTCACATGCAAATCGATGTTCTATTTTTAAATAGCTGCACCAACCAAAGAGACCAAAGAGCCAAAGCTCAACCCCCAAAGCACAACTAGGTTATTATTATTAGAATCTTTATTGACAAAATTTAATTACAATTTTGCCTAATCTGAGGATTTCAATTAAGTCTAATAACACTTTTGCCCGGCGATAACTCAGCACTGAGTCCTCCGCAAAATAGGGGCAAGTCCGGCGAGGACTCGGCATCGAGTCTTAAGTGCAGCAACAGTAGCGTTTTTTTCGGGAAGGTCTTGCTGCGGTTTTGGACATTATATATACATATATATATAACTGAAAACTCACACCCCAGAAGTGACTCGAACCCATACTCCCACAACTGGTATGTACAGGGACGCCTTAATCCGCTTGACCATCACGACCGGACATAAGGAAGTGATAGCCGAGGCTATATGAACCACTTCCCCGCCGGCACTCGGATGGTAATCTTGGGCATAGCATTTTATCAAATCACCTCATTCTTTGGGGCACACGTAAGGAACACAAATGCAAACAAACATACTCCCAACAGTTGTGGGAGTATGGGTTCGAGTCACTTCTGGGGTGTGAGTTTTCAGTTGTATATAGTCCTGGGGACCATTCAGGCTTGTTTGCACATATATATATATATATGCATATACTCATGCATATACTCTTGTAGGGAATTTCATTGCAATACATTGATACCAAAATTAAAGTCCTAGGACCAGATTTGAGGTAACAAAGTTGAAAACAGAATACCCATTTTATTGCTCTTTATTAGCGCTCACGGGGGTAACGCTCTGTCACTTTCCCTGCTTGTTGTGGATGGTACGCCGGGCTTTTGGACTTTATATTTGCATACTCCTGTAGGGAATTCTATTGCGAAGACAATGATACCAAAATGAAAGACTTAAGACGAGAATTGAGATGTCCAAAGTGAAGAGAGTGTACACATTTTATTGCTCTGGCTCGCTCCCGGGTAACACGCTCTCACTTTCTCGCCGGGCTTTTGGGCTTTATATGCATTTAGTCCTGTAGAGAATTTTATTGCAAACACATTGATACCAAATTGAAAAACCTAGGACGATAATTGAGATGACAAAGTTGAAAAGAATATTCACTTTTCATACTAAGAAGCGCCTTGGGGGTGGCGCAGCACTCTCTTTCTTGTAACCGCGGCCTGTTTTCATCATGTCGGCGGGTGGAGATCGCTGCTGTTTTTTATATTATGTGCATATAGGCCTGTTGGGAATTCTATTGCGAACACATTGATACCAAAATGAAAGACCTAGGACGAGAATTGAGTTGACAAAACTGAAAAGAGTGTAAACATTTTATCACTCTTGTGCGCTCCCAGGTAACTTTCTGTTAGTTGCGGATAGTATGCCGGGCTTTTGGAGTTTATATGCATTTAGTCCTGTAGAGAATTCTATTGCAAACATATTGATACCAAATTGAATATCTTAGGACGAGAATAGAGCTGACAAAGTTGAAAAGATTATACACTTTTCAGAATTTACTGCGCTCTCCCTCGCGCTCCATCGGAACGCCCAAGCCCCCCACCTGGGGTAGTGGGGAGGTCCCGGGCCCGGTGCGCGAAAGTGTTAAAGTAAGGATAATGCTGATATTCACTGTCACACAGGACAGAGGGTCATACACAAGACAATAGGTCTAAACTATAGGCTGCAGCACTTATATATCATGGTTACAATCAATGTTTTAATGCACGAATATGTAAAAACAACTTTCTATTGTGCACTGCCACACAAGGATGGGTTCAGGAGATGCAGCATAAAAATAATAAATAAAATTGTTCTTCATTCCTTAAAATGGAGAAGCAAATTTTGGATAAATTGTAAGGATGTCGTCCAGTACACCAGATTCCATGAAATAGTTACAGTTGGTGGTACAATAGGCTAGGAGGTTTAAAATCCTTTATGATTTTACATTCAACAATATTGTGTTCTAGTGAATGCATTAAAGTTGCACAGAGTTTACAATCTGAATATTCTGGTAGTGGCTCAGCCTCCCTAAACTGCCATATGTGCCTATAGCCAAGGCAAAATCGTGCAATGACTACATCACATTGTCTGGTCCGTTACTATGCTGACCATACAAATACCTATTATTACAAAATTTGTCATAGATATTAATACTGCAGCTTTCAGGTTTCTGGGCATTTCTTATTTCTTCTAAATCTGAATTAATTTCTTTAATTTGTATGTTTCTAATAATTCCATTAGATAGTCAAAAGTCATTATCGGTGTTTTCTTTCCTGCAAGCCTCATTGGCCAATCTATCTACAAAATCACGTTTTCCAAATCCAACATGGGATGGGGTTTTTGAGGTTATCTTGAGATGATTTCGGGGCTTAGCGTCCCCATGGCCCGGTCTTCGACCAGGCCACTTTTTTGTTACACACACCCCCAGGAAGCAGCCCATAGCAGCTGTCTAACTCCCAGGTACCTATTTACTGCTAGGTAACAGGAGCATCAGGGTGAGAGAAACATTTTGCCCATTTGTCTCCGCCTCCACCGGGATCGAACCTGGAACCTCAGGACTACGAATCCAAAGCGCTGTCCACTCAGCTATCAGGCGCCCATGGGATCCACATAAATGGATCCCATGGCACCCCATGGGATCCACACAAATTTTATACAATAGTTATCATCATTGGCAAAAATTACATTCCATTTGATATTACAAGCTACTTCAGACATAAATTGCGATAGGTTATTTAAGGATTGCAGAGCACTTTTATAGTCACAGAATATCCCTCCACCACCATTGAGCTTAAGGTACTCAGTGGCTAGATAAATACCTAATAGCTCAGTCTGTGTCGTGCTTGCCCAGTTGTTCAATCTCTGTGAACTAGACATGATTATTTCATTTCCTTTATATACTGCACATGCACAACCTGTTCTACCAGTGCCTAATTGCAGTCATCAGTAAAGGTACAGGATTCAGTTGGTTTGAGATTTTGAAGACTGTCAATAGCTTCTAATGTTATACATCTCATAGTTTCAGTGTTATACATTTGTTTTACACTGATGGGAGTATAATGTAAAGAGACCTGCACATCTTTCCAAGGGGGAATATAGAGAACAGTTTTATCATGACTAAGAGACACATTCAGTTTCATAAGATTATTGGCACAACAACTGAGCCACACACTGTAAGGAGCTTTTTGCAGCGGATTGAGGGAACAGTCAGAACTGTTTAGAATGGATCTCAATTTAATTTGAATAGAGCTGGGGGGACCATTATTTTTCAAAGTTTTGGCCCAAAACATAGTACTAAGTAGAACTATTCTCGACTGGCAGATAAAAACAAACCCCAACAAGTCCAAAATCACATACTTCTTCAACAACAAACGACGCAACCCTGCCCCAATAAACTCTACTCTCAATCACCAGATGCAACCCAGGTCCCAAGAGTCAACAACACCACAGTACTTGGACTCACATTAGACTCTAACCTTCATTTTCACACACATATAACACCCAAGAAAGCTATAGCCTCAAAAGCTCTATCCAAACTTTTCCCACTCAGACATGACTCCCAAGCCACCAAGCTTTGTCTATACAAAACACTCATTCTCCCACTCCTAACATATGCACCGATCCCACTCTCACTTGCACCACCAACAAATAGGAAGAAACTCCAGCGTACCCAGAACAGGGCTCTGAGATGGGTGTTCGATACCCACTGGCAGGACTTCACCACTAGTGAAGCCCTGCATGAGTGGGCAAACATCCCAGCTCTCAACATAACCTGGGATACGATGGGGAAGAAACAGATCACTAGAATTCTCACCTGTCATGACAACTACGACGCATTCCTCATAAACGTCCTAAGTAGACCCAGACATACGCACAACCTCTTTAACCTGATCGACGACCCACCTCCTGCTCCGTCCTTTACATGACCCCTCTCCTCTACTATACCACTACTCAAATCACCTCGTTCCAAACTACATAGCCTCCTTAATTCTTCTCCCCTCTCTTTAGGGGGGGGGGCGACCTGTTAGCTCCCGTTTTCTGGTGCCTTGAGTGGGGCACGATGCTGATTGGCAAATCCAAGACCACATCTGGTGTGAGCCACCAGGGCACACCCAGCTGAGGGCTGCTATCTCCGTGGGCGCTCCGAAAGACGAAATGTTGTCACAAAGATCTGATTCCTTGCCTCCAATTGCTAAGTCTGGTCATAACGATTCAATGTCATGCAGCTGGGTCTAGCCCTGGCACTTTACCTCATACTGAAAACCCTTCCTCTCACCCCCACTAATTCTTCCCCTATCCCCACTTCCACGTTCACCCAATAGGGTATCTTGACCTACATTTAATTCAATCATTCATTCAACTATTCTCTCATAAATAGAAGGTAATCTTAGTTCCTTTCTCATGTTAACAATTCTGACAGTTCTAGGACAACCCAGGATGATGCACATGGCATCATTCTGTATTACATCTAGGCCTTGTAGTTGTTTAGGAGAAAAATTAAGAAGATGCAAGGCATAATAATCAACAACAGATTGTATAGAGACAATATAAAAACTATGAGCATATTTTATGTTAATACCAAATCCTTTGCCCACAAGAGTTTTGAGAGGTTTAAGATGCTCAACAAGTTTTTTGTGCAGGTTGCTGATGAGATTTGTATCATTAACCTCGACTCCAAGATATTTATAAGACTCAAGTCTTCACAGGCACCCCATTAATAGTATAGTTAACATGAAGAGAAATGGGGAATAAGAACCCTTGTTTTATTAACAGAGATTATGAGGCCACATTCTACTACTTTCTTGGAGAATGTATCAAGTAATACTTGTAGTCTTGATTTACTGTGTGCCATAATACAAATATCAGCAGCATAACATGTAACAGTTTCAGTATGTTGTACAGGTATGTCATGGATAAGTTTGTGCGTAAGTACAATGGCACCTCGACTTACAACTACCCCTACTTACGAATTTTTCGAGTTACAATGTAAATTTCGTCGGAAAATGGGACTCGACTTAAGACCTTTGCCTCGACTAGCGACTTTGTTGATACACGTATGGATCGCATGGATCCTGGCGGCATGGCCAACCCTGCCTCAATTTACCAGTCACCTGCTTAGTGACGATCGTGCATGTAAAGAATTTCATTATTTTTGTGTTTTTTTGTTTTTTGAACATAAAAGTAATTATTATATATCATGCCATGGGTCTTAAGAAAGTCAGTGGTAAGGTTCAGCCTGAGAAAACACATGTGAGGATGACCATAGAGGAAAAACAAGAGATCATTCGTAAACATGAAAATGGCATGAGGGCTGTTGATGTAGAGTAGAGGATGTCCCATCCTCATTTATTAAGAAAATGTGTGCACAATGGGAAGAATTGCAAAGATTTGTTTAAAAGTCACCCAAATCAAGCTGAAGCCGGCCATTGTGTTAACCTTTTTAATGACAGTGTCTCACTTCAGACAAGTGTTACAACATAGGGAAAAACAAGTGTCGCTAGACATGTTTTTAGTGAGAAAAACAAGCAGTGAGCCACAACTGCTATATGGCAGTTGGTATGCAGGCAAAATGTAGGAGAGAGAGTACCCCAGAAAAGTCATCACTGCCTGATGTTATAATGGAAGGGGACTGCCCTTCCAAACACTAACACCTCTCTGCTCCTCACCGTCTTCCATACACCATCAAGAGTCCTCATTCAAGGTAAGACATACATACAGTACTGTATTGTAGCTAGTACAAAATGAGTGTTATTCGGTATAAAATGTATTTTTAAGTTAACATTTTTGAAGGTGTGGAACAGATTAATTCAATTTACATTATTTTTTATTGGAAAATTTATTTCAACTTAAAATTTTTGACTCACGACCCATCTCTGAAAATGGATTAAATTTGTAAGTCGAGGCCCCACGGTATATTAAAAAGCATAGCACTTAGGACACCACCTTGAGGTGTGCCTAGTTTGAATGCATCTGTTCTTGTACTTTTAACTCCTTAAATAGGACACTGGCACGCCTGTAGGATAGGTAGCTCTTTATCCAACTCGGAAGATTACCTTTGATTCCAAATTCAGCAAGTTGCTCTAATATTATTTTGTCATTCGCTACATCGAAAGCTGACTTTAGGTCAATAAAGCTGCCTGTGTCCTATCCTCAGTGTACAATATATTCAGCAAAGCATGTTTGTGTGCTATATTTGGGCATAAACCCATATAGGTTAGGAGCCAATTTTTCTTTGACCTGAAACATGACACGATTGAGAACAATTCTCTCCAAGACTTTACACATGCAAGATGTAAGGGAAATAGGCCTGAATTTTTGAGAGTTAGGTTTAGGAATTGGTACTATGAGACCTTAGGTGAGTTCAGTTCAGGGGTTAAAAGACTTCAGTTAATTCAATGTTGAAAAAATGAAGAGAGAATAAAAGAAGATTTAATTCAATATGTGTATTTTATGTCTACTAACCAAACATAATAAAGATCAAAGTTACACATTTTAAATACTGTAATTAAAAATGTGCTTTTAAACAGAATTTTGCAGCCAAAATACTCTATTATCAAATACATATTCCATCATTTACAAAAACACAAATATTTTCAAGCGAAACAACAATAAATAAGTTGAGATATTATTATTGTCTAACCCCTATATTGCACTCACCAAAATATCTCGTTTGACAGGTTGTGTGAAAGACTCAGTTTACCAATATCTTAAAATTTTTACATTTTTTTTTCACTCACTGTGATTTTAACTCAATCATCAAATTTGGCAATATTTTGACATTTTATCACATATGTAAAAATGTCCAGTTGACATTACAATCCATTAACTCCCACACCACGGAACTGTCACATGAAACACATGATTAGTACAGGGGGTTAAAGAAAGGGATAAGGCAACAACAAATTTAAATGAATCCAGCTCTTGCTTTTTCGTTGCTCTTGGTTGAATTTATAATAAAATATGCAAGGATGACAATACAAGTCACTCACCTACATTAAGACACCCAACACAATCAACACTACTCTTCAACACCAGCAGCTTGGAGCTCTCAACACGATCCCTGCAGCTCCTCATTAGCCTGCCACCTGCAACAAGAGGCAAACTGCAATACAATATTGAAAATCAGGCATGTAACTTTTTAAATTATCTACAGAGCACAACAAATGAGGATCAGGACTTGAAACACACACACATTGCCACATAGAAAAACCTTATGCATACAGCTCATGACTCGGCAAAACACAAACACACACACAGATCTCAACTTAGCAAAGCATACAGATTGTGACCTAGCAAGCCATACAGATTGTGACCTAGCAAACCATACAGATTGTGACCTAGCCAAGCATACAGATTGTGACCTAGCAAACCATACAGATTGTGACCTAGCAAACCATACAGATTGTGACCTAGCAAACCATACAGATCATGTGGCTTAAAGGGCCATAACATAGGATATTAAAAGTTATTCAATGTCAACCAAATTTTTTTTGACTAGTTGTATATGAAAAGGGCTGCAACTCTTCCAAGTTTCAGTATTGCAGCCTAAATATAAAGGGAGAAAAAAAATTATTTTTCAATAAATTTTCAACATTTACCACAAGTTTCAAATTAAATCATTTCTATGACACTCGTCTATCACATTGGCATATAATAAAGGATTTTACCAACCGGATTATCCAAAATATGTTTAGTTTTATTAATACAAATAGTCAAAGTTCCCAAAAAACTTATGCAAATATATCATGTTTATAAATATTTATAAAATCAATAAATGAACTTAGGAATAAGGAATCTTTGATCAATTGTAGAGACAAACTCTACATATAAGTTGTAAGCTTCATGTAAAATGAATAACAAATGAAAAGGTAGTCATTTTTTTGTTACTTGAAACAAAATCAAGTCAAAGATTCTACCACCTGTGACTGAGGGGTTGACATCAACTAATTTCCTCGAAAAATGGCACCCTTACAGATAGGCTTATGTGCAGTAAGGTGTATACGTTTCATAAAAATCGCCCGATAAAAAAATGAGAAACAATTAGAGAAAAAAAAAAAGCATTGAATGTAATGAAACGCCATTTTCTGGGTGAGACTCGGAGGCTCCCCAGAACTATCCAGGCTTATATGTAACTATTAGCTTTCTGGCATTAGTCAAAGTGCATGGAGTTCTTACTTACCGGGGACCATGAGCCAGAATCTGGCCCCCCCTCAGAGAGGCACGAGGAGCAATGACCTATAGAAACCCCCATGTGAATGGAAGCATTCTGGGTCTGCCATCGACCGAGTCTGGCACCTAGAAAAATAGGCGCACCAAAACCCTTATTCCAGTGAAAATATCGCTACCGAAAGCTGAACGAGTGGACAGAACTCCCCAAGTGAAAACGAGCAAACTAGCATGACATCATCACATCGCCGTGCCGCCATCTGCACCCCCCATCCCCTCAAGGGGAGGAATGTGGGGAAGGGGAGCCTCAGACCCCCGCAATCAAACCAGCAGTTCTTAGGCTGGACGTCAAAAACGTGTGAAAACACTGCCGACCGGAGGGAGGGAGCGATGCCGGGGAGCCTCCGGGTCTCACCCAGAAAATAGCATTTCATTACATTCAACGCTGGTTTTCTGGGAGAAGTCCCGTTGGCTCCCCGGAGCTACCTCACCAAAGATAAGGGAAAGAGGGAAGGACCCGGGAGGCGGACGCCACGTGCCCTAACTAAAAAAAAAGACAACTGGCAAACTGAAGGACCCTGCAGACAACTTGGGAGACCCAAATCCCAGAATAGGAAGGAAGGAAAGAAGGGCACCCCCCCACCCACAACCACAGAGGCCAAGGCGCGCAGAGAACAGCAGAGAACCACAACCGAACTCATCACAAGAAGCATTCCCGCCCTGACCAACCAAGTGTAACGGGGGGTGGGGGAAATAGCTCTATCTTGTCCATTATTCCACCCCCCAGTTAACTAACGAGGCCGGGGGAAACAGCTCTCTCTAGTCCGTTATCCCGTCCCCAGTTAGCTAACTATTCTAGAGCACCCTCCAGAGTTCCTAAGGCAACCTCTCTCGTTCAACACCTTGTAACCTAGGTATTTGACTACCTAGGTGTTAAGACTACAAGGCGCCGTCACTTGATCAGTTACCCGAAACTCTAGAGAGAACTCTAGAATACAAAATCATTGCCACAAACGTATAAGTGAAAACGAAAGGAAAGAAATGAATCGTGAAGTAATTAGTGAGGGTTTGGGGTGAGAGGCAGAGAGGTGGGAGGAGCGAGAAGGGTCATTAGTTGAAAGTGAGAGTTTAGAGAAGGGTGGAGGGAGAGGTGTAGATAGGTAAAAGTAGAAGAGTAGATAGTAGAAGTAGAAGAGTAGATAGTAGAAGACGAAATGCTGCCACCATCCATTCATGATCATTACATACAAGACAAGGAATGGAACTTGCCTGTATCACAAAATTCTCAAAAGATGTTATCATGAGTTCATTATTAGTATGTTCCCTCTGTACCATGTACTCCTTAAAATCAGGGAACCAATAATCCCCGAGGCTTTCTCACCTCAACTCTAAGCTCTAGGGAACCAAGTTAAACACCATTTAAATAATAAATTCATAATTATATTTCCCATGAAGTATCATAATTTAGCAATTCAATTAAAATGTTCCAGTTAATATGCAAAGTGAGTCATCATCCAAGAATTCGAGAACCCTACAACTTGACTGCCCCTGATCATCACACAACATATGTAAACACGACCAAGTCACCTTAATGTTCACTCACCGAGGACGGAGTCTAAGTTGAATAGAGAGGGGGGGGGGGGGGTCTGTAGCTTGACAGAGACTGTCTCGCCCCTGCCGGCCGACAGCCTCCCTGGTAGGGAGCAGGTCTCTGCTCTCGTCTGCTGTTCTGTCTCTTAATGCTCCTTTCTGGATAGCTCTCCGAGTTTATATTGGGGAACCTAGTAGCTAACTCCGCCCACAAATAGATAGCCTCCGGCACTACCAAGCCACTCCTTAAACGTCGGCTTGTTTGAAGGCTACCAGACTACAATTAAGAGCTTAGCGGAAGCAAGGTGAAATTCTCATGATCTGACCTCAGGTCACTTGGGGTCGTTAACGGTTAGAGGTGTGAGATCTCAGGCAGACAACTGGCGCCTCTCAGATCCTTGTCTGTGACTCGTGTACTCTATATATATTTTAAATAAACTAACCCAAACACTTTTACAGTGTTACACAAGCATCAATAACCCAAGGAGCCGATTGGAAAGCTTCAGACCCATTTATCGCCAGAAAAATGAGACTGCTGCAAACGAACAAATCTACCACCAGGACCAAACGAGGAGAAAAACTCCTGCACCGGAGGAGAGCCTGAAGTTCCCCGACCCGACCCCTAGAGGTCAACACCAACAGGAAAGAGAGACCTGGAAAACAACCCAGAACCGAAGGGACCACGACAAACCAAGTAGAGAGAAACGAGACCACCCGGTCTAACGACCAGGACGGCACTAGAGACACATGAGCAGGCCAGAGGGGGAAACAACACATGAGACAGCATGTGGAATGGAGCAGAAGTAACATCAATACTGAACCAATCAATACAGCTGGAGTGATTCCGCCAATGCCGCACGACACGAGGGGTCAGTATCCGGAAGAGGATGACGGTCCTGGAACAACCACGAAAGGAAAGACAAGACAACCCTATTAGAGACCAAAGTACACCTACACAGTGATAGGAACCAGAAGGACTACAAGGAAACTTCATACAGCGGCCGAGACGAAGCACGCAGGTAGAAGACCAACAACAAAGCCACCAGCGCCCATACAAGCGACGAGAAACTTGAGACAAAAAACCCCAGACATAAAGACTCGAGGAGAAGAATGAAACAGACTCGTACTGGGCCTGACCGATCTGCAGAAAGAAGTGGAGCCGCAGGAAAACCCTCGAGTTCAGACACCGAGCAAGCAACGCCTGAAACCAAGGCTGGGCCGGCCACCAAGAAGCCAGAAGCACAACTCTCCCCTGGTAAGACTCCAAGCGAGCCAGGACCTTGACATTTCCTGAATGTGAACCACCAGGAAAGCCAAACCCTGAGAACTCAGAAGACGAGTCACCCGAAGCAACCAGTCCCAAAAAGCCAAAGACCCAAATCCTACGAAGCAAAATCCACACAGCCGCAAACACCCGCACCACGCTGTGCAGGAACAGTTGAAAGCGGGCATGTACGCAAAGCAGAGCCGCCAGAGGAAGAGACAAAGTGCAGTCCGAGCCAGCTAAGACCGAACCTGAGAGGGAACCAGATGGGACTACCGCCAGTGCACCAGGCGAGCTGGGAAAGAACCAAATCCTTGGTGAGCAGACACACGAACTGACCAGGAGCCCAAACCAGCCAGTCATCGAGTGAGGCCAGAACCCGAACACCTAACAGACACAGTCAGGCACCCACGACCCGAAGGAGAAGTGTGATAATGCAAGGTGCCAGCAGGTTCCTGCAACGAAAGCAGGAACCTTGACGCCCCACAACAAAACCGAGCCAGTTCCTGAACCTCGGGACATGCCAATACGCATTGGGACATGCCAAAACGTGTCTATGAGGCCCAGGGACACCACCCAAGTGCCCAGCTCCAACAGAAGACAGACCTGGGACAGAGTAGTCATCCGAAAGGAGGGGCAAGAACCCACGGGTTCAGACAGAACCATTCCAGAATGAACCGGAGATACGCGCAGTCCCATTTCGGGACCGAAGTCAGGCGGAAACCCACCAGAGACACAAGGTCAGTTTGACCATGCTCAAGCAAACCCACTCTGAGAGGACTCAACAGAGCGCAGGAGAAGATGCATGCCCTGCCAGCCCCAAACCCCCAGGAGGAGGAGACACTCAACGCCCCTACAGGCCGCACGAAACCACCCGAAGGGCCCACAAATTGTGGGACCAGGCGCAAGCAACAAGGCCCCCCCCCCACCCCCCGTGAATGGGACAAACCTTGAAAAGGCCGATGCACCATACGAGAACCTAGCGGTGCACAGGGCGATACCCACGCCGACCAGAAAATGACGAAACCGAAGGTTGTGCCTGCCCCGAATCTGGCACAACTGGCCCACCACAACGGGAAGAACCCCGAGGCCTGGCACGACCCATCTGGGAAGGCACCCCCAAGAGCCCCCCGGAGAACCAACATGTCAGACATGGGATGGCACCTAGCTGAAGCCGCCTACAGAGACTGCACAACGGCAGACTCCTCCACATTCAACTCAAGCCAATCAGAGGACAGCTCGAGGAGGGAGATGAAACGTAGGGCCAGAGCCAGCAGGCCACGTGTATGCAATTCCTTCGTGACCAAGACAGCCAAAAGGGAAGGAACCTGCACACGAGGCAGCATCACACCAACAACCCGTGGAAGGACAGAGGCGAACAAATGTGCATTGAGATGCTCAAAATCGCTCCCCAGGGAAAACCTGCAACGCCGTCTGAGCCTCCCTCCACGCAAGCACGTGAGACCGACAGAACGGGTACCAAGCCTCCAATGAGAAGAGCGGACAGTCTGTAAACCAGGACGACTCTGGAACATCACAACGAACCCAGTACACACATGAACATCCATACACGAAGGAACACAGATCCATCACGAAGGTATAATCCGGGTTGTGCAGGAGATAAGCTGCAAGGGCATCCTGCATCACACAAGACAGACCATGCTACAAGGCACAGTAACAAACAAAACCGGAGCCAGAGGCACCAGACCAGCCAGTATCACATTAGCCAAGAACTGCCAGTTGGATCACTGGTGCAGGGGTCTGGAGCTCCGTCTTCCCCCCTCCTATGGAGGATGGGGGGTTGCACAGATGGTGGCGCAGCAACGTTATGACATCATGCTAGTATGCTAGTTTTCATTTGGGGAATTCTGTCGTTCGGCTTTCGGTAGCAATATTTTCACCAGAATAGGGGTTTATTTCGGGGCGCCTATCTTTCTAGGTGTCAGACCCGGTTGATGGCAGACATAGAATGCTTCCAACCACACGAGAGTTTCTATAGGCCATTGCTCCTTGTGCTTCTCTGAGGGGGGCCAGGTTCTGGCTCATGGTCCTCGACAGGTAAGAACTCCATGCACTTTGATGCCAAAAAGATAATAGTTACACATCAGCCTGGAGAGCTCCGGGGAGCCAACGGGGCTCCCGCCAAAAAATCTAATTTTTTTTAACTAAACTTTTTTTGCATAAAACTAATTACTAAAGTCCTTTATTATATGCTATTGTGATAGCCGAGAGTCATAGACATGATTTTAGTTGACACTTGTGTTTATGTTAATTTTCGAACATTTTGGAAAATTTTTGACACATTATTAAATATTTTTTCTCCCTTCCTATTTACACTATGATGCTGAGACTTGAACCAGTTGAAGCCCTTTTCATATACAACTAGACAAAAAAGTTTGACTGAAATTTAATTAGTTTTCATTTATTGCACATGTTGAGGTTATGCACCCTTAATAAAATACGGAGATCGTACCTTGCTGCCATGGTCGAGATGATAATACAGGTGGAGCACTCATGAAAGTGTTGGCAGCAACTGCATTGCCATCAACAACAGCAGAACAAGCAGCAGCTGTATTAACAGGTGCTGCTGCAATACTGTCAACAGTTACAACAGAGTTAGCAGCTGCAACACCTCCAGTATCAATGTCACTGACTGCAGCGCTATCAACATTAGCAGCTGTAGGCGTATCACCATCAGCAGCTGAAGCCGTATCAACATAGGCAGCTGTAGCAGTATCAACATCAGCAGCTGTAGTAGTATCATCAACTGCAGCAGCTGTAGCAGTATCAACATCAGCAGCTGTAGCAGTATCAACATCAGCAACTGTAGCTGCATCAACATCAGCAGCTGTGGCCGTATCAACATCAGCAGCTGTGGCCGTATCAACATCAGCAGCTGTAGCAATATCAACATCGGCAACTACAGCAGCTGTACCAGTATCAACATTGGCAGCTGTAGCAATATCAACATCGGCAACTGCAGCAGCTGTAGCAGTATCAACATCATCAACTGCAGCAGCTATAGCGGTATCAACATCAGCAGCTGTAGCAATATTAATGTCAGCAGCTGCAGCAGAATCAATGTCAGCAGCTGTAGCAGTATCAACATCATCAGCTGTAGCAATATCAAAATCAACAGCTGTAGCAATATCAATGTCAGCAGCTGTAGCAGTATCAACATCATCAGCTGTAGCAATATCAACATCAACAGCTGTAGCAATATCAATGTCAGCAGCTGCAGCAGAATCAATGTCAGCAGCTGTAGCAGGATCAACATCAGCAGCTGCAGCAGTATCAACATCATCAACTGCAGCAGCTATAGCGGTATCAACATCAGCAGCTGTAGCAATATCAATGTCAGCAGCTGCAGCAGAATCAATGTCAGCAGCTGTAGCAGGATCAACATCAGCAGCTGCAGCAGTATCAACATCAACAGCTGTAGCAATATCAACATCGGCAACATCAGCAGCTGTAGCAGTATCAACATCAGCAGCTGTAGCAGTATCAACATCAGCAGCTGTAACAGTATCAACATCAGTAGCTGTAGCAGTATCAACATCAGCAGCTGTAGCAATATCAACATCGGCAACTGCAGCAGCTGTACCAGTATTAACATCAGCAGCTGTAGCTGTATCAACATCAGCAGCTGTAGCAATATTAATGTCAGCAGCTGCAACAGAATCAATGTCAGCAGCTGTAGCAGGATCAACATCAGCAGCTGTAGCAGTATCAACATCAGCAGCTGTAGCTGCATCAACATCAGCAGCTGTGGCCGTATCAACATCAGCAGCTGTGGCCATATCAACATCAGCAGCTGTAGCAATATCAACATCGGCAACTGCAGCAGCTGTAGCAGTATTAACATCAGCAGCTGTAGCAGTATCAACATCAGCAGCTGTAGCAATATTAATGTCAGCAGCTGCAACAGAATCAATGTCAGCAGCTGTAGCAGGATCAACATCAGCAGCTGTAGCAGTATCAACATCAGTATCTGTAGTCATATCAACATCAGCAGCTGTAGCCATATCAACATCAGCAACTGCAGCAGCTGTAGAAGCATCAACATCAGCAGCTGTAGCAATATCAATGTCAGCAGCTATAGCAGTATCATCTATAGCAGCTGCAGCAGGAATAATGTCAATAGCTGTAGCAGTATCAACATCAGCAGCTGTAGCAGTATCAACATCAGCAGCTGTAGCAGTATTAATGTCAACAGCTGTAGCAGTATCAACATCAGCAGCTGTGGCAGTATCAACATTAGCAGCTGTAGCAGTATCAACATCAGAAGCTGTGGCAGTATTAATGTCAACAGCTGTAGCATTATTAGCCTCAGCAATTGTAGCAGTAATAATGTCAGCATCTGGAGCATTATCAATATCAGTAGATGTACCATTATCAATATCAGTAGATGTAGCTGTATCAACAGCTGTAGCAATAGTAACAGCTACATCAGCAGAAACAGCAATAGAGTTTGATAGTATGGGCAAGTCTGCATACGTAAGCGCTGATGAGGGCTCGTTAACTCCCAGACCAGCAGCATTAAAGGTGCCAGCGGAAGAGGGTATAGTTGGGTCCATGTACTCAAGTGATGATGACCCATCTTTTAACAATAACTCGGTAATTGTCAGCCCAGCAACAGCAGCACAATTCTTTAGTGAGTGTACACAATTCTTTAGTGGGTCAGTGGAAGACGGAATGGCCAAGTCCATGTACTCAGGCTTTGAAGAGCCAGTCTGTAATAATGACTCTGTAACTGTCAGCCCAGCAACAGCAGCGGAATCATTTAGGGGGCTGGTAGAAGACGGAATGGCCAAGTCCATGTTTGCAAGAGCTGATGATCCAACCCCTGTTGATGGTATTGCTGGCACATTACCACCAGATTTTTGGGGGTCAAGGGATGACAATGTATTCAATTCCTCATAGTTGATCGCTGATGATCCATCTAAGGTGAATGACTCTGCAGTTCCAAGATCATTTCCACTTGTGCTTTGTGGAGAGGCCAGCACAGATCTGTTTTTCAATGATAAAATGTAAATTTTAGCTATCACTACAGAAAATAAGAACAATTTACAGTATAATTAAAATTAAACATTTATGTTGAGAGAATAACACCATTCTTGCAAAGAACATTCAAAGTTCACCATGCAAAGCATATTAACTATTCTGTAACCTATTTAATGCAATCTTTAGCATTTCAAACCTAGATGAACAGTTTCTCAAACCTGATTACTTTCTAAGGAATTATTTCTTTTTAAATAAGACAAAATTGACATAACAGTCAACAATGCAAAATGAGATATTTACAGAATATATAAATATTTAAATGTTTATATAATACAAAAATATATACAATAATTATATTGTCACGGTAAAATCTCTAGGAAGAGATTCGGCCTACTCCATTGTCACCTATTCTACTTATTCACGTCTATTTAATCAAGAACTGCAGCCAAGAACAACAACTACTTCCAGACGTCTATACAGTACTACCAGTCTCCCCCTTCACCACGGCCCGTCACCCCACCTCGCACCTGGGTCGCTGCGAGACCACACCCTCCGAAACAAGCAGTTTAACAGCCGATTAATAGTTAAAGAAGCTATCAGCACCATTGCCCGGCCAATATTCTGTATAAATAGGGCTACCAAGCTCTCCAAGATTCAGATTACTCCTGAGTGCTCTTGCTGAGTAGACCTGTTGACATGCCCCAGTGTGGTAACAGAGCTATTCAGTTTGACTCACAGTATTCCGCACCATATTTTCTAGTACTGTATTAACGTAACGTAACAAATTTAACTGTCTGTTTATCTTGTTTGTTTTGCACACTTTGTATTAAAGCCAAGCCTGGATATTATTTTATGTGTTGTAATTTGTTTAACTTCAGTTTTTGTGTCAAAGTAGAGTATTTTTAAAATGTTTTTTCCCTCTGCTTTATCCTACAATTTATCTTACTGTGAAGACACCTTTGCAGTTTAACTTTTTTTTTTTTTTCTTTTTTTTTAACATTTTGTGACTGGCATTATAGACTGCACGACCACCAACGTTTCCCGTCACAATATATTCATACATACAGTATAAATATTTAAAAAGAATTTACATACAGTATAAATATTTAAAAAGAATTTACAAAATGAACTGTACAAAAATTAATATGAATATATACAGAATAGTACAGTGGTACCTCGGAATGCGATTGTCCCTGTATGCGAGGTTTTCGGAAGGCGAGGTGTATTTACTCCAAAAATTTGTCTCGGAAGGCGATGGTTACTTCGGGAGGTGAGTTTGGACGCGAGTTTGTTGATACGCGTACAGCCGACCTAGCGCGCGGTGGTTCGGCGATCGTCGCCCCTCCGCCCGCCGCCCCTCAGTTTATTATTGTCTCGCGCTCAGTGACTACCCCCACATCAATTCTTCTTGCGGATTTTCAGTGTTTTGTTGGATTTTTGGTGATTTGTCTATACAATTTGTTATTATATATCTCACCATGGGTCCCAAGAAAGCCAGTGGTAAGGATAAAGGCCAGAAAGCTCATGTGAGGATGACAATAGAGGAGAAACAAGAGATCATTCGGAAGCATGAGAACGGTACACGTGTTGTTGAACTTTGTAGGCAGTACAACAAAGCCACATCAACAATATGCACTATACTTAAGAAGAAAAATAAGATTATGGGTACTAAAGTGGCAAAAGGAGTAAGAACATTAACGGCACAAAGACCACAAATACTTGAAGAAGTGGAAAAGTTGTTATTAATTTGGATACACGACAAGGAGTTGAGGGGTGATAGTGTTTCGGAGGCCATTATTTGTGAGAAAGCCAGGGTGTTGCACGAAGACCTTCTAAAGAATACCCCTGCAACGAGTGATGCAGATAAAGAGTTTAAGGCAAGCAGGGGCTGGTTTGAAAAATTTAGAAAGAGAAGTGGTATCCATAGTGTTACAAGGCATGGGGTTATGTGATGTGATTATGGAAGGGGACTCCCCTTCCAAACAGTAACTCCTCTCCTCCTCCCCCCTCCTCGCCATCTTCCATACGCCTACAGCACTCGACAGCAAGGTAAGTAATAACTGGAACACAGTTTTGTAGGCTTATTTAGATGAACTAGGTAAATTAGGTATAAAAATTTAGTTTGATGTGGGGTTTTTGGGGTAGTCAGGAACGGATTAATTCATTTCCCTTTATTTCTTATGGGGAAATTAACTTCGGAATGCGAGTTTTCGGAAGGCGAGGCGTCTCCAGGAACGGATTAAACTCTTATTCTGAGGTATGCCTGTATATGCAAAACTACCCCAGACCATTCACCCTGCAAAACTACCTTAGACTATTCACCGTGCAAAACTACCTTAGACCATTCACCGTGCAAAACTACCTTAGACCATTCACCGTGCAAAACTACCCCAGACCATTCACCCTGCAAAACTACCTTAGACCATTCACCCTGCAAAACTACCTTAGACCATTCACCCTGCAAAACTGGGTAAAGTTAGCCCCAAGCATCTGGCCTCCAATCTTGGACAAATAGACTGTCTTTTATATAGATAGTCCTATAACTAGCATTCACAATGAATTATAGTTAATTCAAAATAGAAATTACTGTACTGCAAAAATAAAACTGTAAAACTATGTAAGTATGCAATAATGACTAACAAATACACATACCTTATATTTGTAATAGGAATAAAGGAAGACTTGGAGAAAGGAACTTGCCGCTGGTGCGGGCTCGGCTCCAGCGGCTGGTGCGGGCTCGGCTCCAGCCGCTGGTGCGGGTTCGGCTCCAGTCGCTGGTGCGGGCTCGGCTCCAGCTGCTGGTGCGGGCTCGGCTCCAGCCGCTGGTGCGGGCTCGGCTCCAGCCGCTGGTGCGGGCTCGGCTCCAGCCGCTGGTGCGGGCTCGGCTCCAGCCGCTGGTGCGGGCTCGGCTCCAGCCGCTGGTGCGGGCTCGGCTCCAGCCGCTGGTGCGGGCTCGGCTCCAGCCGCTGGTGCGGGCTCGGCTCCAGCCGCTGGTGCGGGCTCGGCTCCAGCCGCTGGTGCGGGCTCGGCTCCATCTGCTGCTTAAATGCTTCTGATACCAATTTACTTTCAGCTTCTGAATTATCTAGAAGGTTCCTCGCATGAGCTTCTATGGAGATTGTGGAATTTTGACAAAATGTTCACATAATGACAGGTATTACTGGGCAGTGTTCTGAGGAAGAAAAAAAATGTGCAATACAATACATATACTGTAGATATACCATACTATAGTCCAATTTATTATGATAAAGTGCAAAAAAGAACTGAAATTATGTTATTTCGTGAGCACAGTGACCGAGCAGGGAAGCTAATTCACACAATAAAAGATCAATAGATAAACTGCTATTTCAGAACTCTGTTCATAATCTCTCACTTATTGTTCAGTTAAAATACTGTATAATAAAGCAGCTACTCGACATATAGGTATACATTGCAGATAATTTAATCTCATTCATACTATCGTCAAATAATTGCCTCGACTCTTTTACATCTACAATTATCACTAATACTGTATTGCAGACTGATTTCTATATAATAATAGTTCATTGTGTCAGGGGAAAGGCTGCTAGTTTATACACACAGTACAGTATATGTTAGGCTTATAACAAGGTCCTCCCAAGATAAAACAGTAGTACTGTACTGACCCTTCCCTAGGATGCAACCCCAACAACTTTACTAACTCCCGGGTACCTATTAACTGCTAGGTGGACAGGCGCATGAGATAATAGGAAATGTGCCCAACCATTTCTGTCCCGCCCAGGATTCGAACCCGGAATTCTCGACTGAATCTCGATTGCAGCTCTAATTGCATCCCCTTTAATTATTCTACATAAGTTTCTGGATATGATTCACAGCAGATGGAATGGCATTGATACACAGCAGATAAAATGGCACTGATACACAGCAAAGGGAATGGCATTGACGCAGTGAAGATTGGTGTTGACGCACAGTGAATAGAATGGTGTTGATACAGATTGGAGAGAAGTGTTGATGCACAGCAGAGAATGGCATTAATGCATACCAGAGAGAATAGCAGTGATGCACAGTGGAGAGAATGGCATTGATGCATTTGTGGATAGACTAGTATTGTAAGACGAATACTGATATTAGAAAAATAACTTCAGGCCAACAAATCAGGCTCTGATTAATAATAATATTAATTATTATTATTAATTAATAATATCAATAGCATCTTTATACATACAGCTTATTTATTTGACAATATCAAATAAAATCTAGAGCAGTTGGGTGCCTTGCCCATCAACAGCATTGTCAGGTATCTCACACATCAATAGCATTGACAAATATCTCGCCCATCTACAAATACTACTTACATAACACACACACCCTAGGCTACGCAACGCGCACACCCTAGGCTACGCAACACGCATACCCTAGGCTATGCTATGCACACAACCTAGGTTATGCAACGCACATACTATAGGCAACACAACACGCACACACCCTAGGCTACGCAACGCACACACCCTAGGCTACGCAATGCACACACCCTAGGCTATGCAACACACACACCCTAGGCTATGCAACACACACCCCCTAGGCCACGCAACGCACACACCCTAGGCCACGCAACGCACACACTCTAGGCTACGCAACGTACACCCTAGGCTACGAAACGCACAAACCCAAGGCTACGCAACGCACACACCCTAGGCTTAGAGGCTATGCAACACACACACACCCTAGGCTATGCAATGCACACACCCTAGGCTATGCAACACACACACCCTAGGCTATGCAATGCACACACCCTAGACTACTCAACGCGCACACCCTAGGCTATGCAACGCGCACACCCTAGGCTACGCAACCCGCACTGCCTAGGCTATGCAACGCACACACCTTAGGCTACGCAAAGCACACACCCGAGGCTACGCAACGTGCACACCCTAGGCTACGCAACGCGCACACCCTAGGCTACACAACGCGCACACCCTAGGCTACGCAACGCGCACACCCTAGGCTACGCAACGCGCACACCCTAGGCTACACAACGCTCACACACTAGGCTACGCAACGCGCACACCCTAGGCTACGCAACGCGCACACCCTAGGCTACGCAACGCGCACACCCTAGGCTATGCAACGCGCACACCCTAGGCTACGCAACGCGCACACCCTAGGCTACGCAACGCGCACACCCTTGGCTACGCAACGCGCACACCCTAGGCTACGCAACGCACACACCCTAGGCTACGCAACGCACACACCCTAGGCTACGCAACGCACACACCCTAGGCTACGCAACGCGCACACCCTAGGCTACGCAACGCGCACACCCTAGGCTACGCAACGCACACACCCTAGGCTATGCAACGCACACACCCTAGGCTACGCAACACACACCCTAGGCTACGCAACACACACACCCTAGGCTACGCAACACACACACCCTAGGCTACGCAACGCACACACCCTAGGCTACGCAACGCACACACCCTAGGCTACGCAACGCACACACCCTAGGCTACGCAACGCACACACCCTAGGCTACGCAACACACCCTAGGCTATGCAACGCGCACACCCTAGGCTTAGAGGCTACGCAACACACACACCCTAGGCTATGCAATGCACACACCCTGGGCTATGCAACACACACACCCTAGGCTATGCAATGCACACACCCTAGACTACTCAACGCACACACCCTATGCTACGCAACGCACACACCCTATGCTACGCAACGCACACACCCTATGCTACGCAACGCACACACCCTATGCTACGCAACGCACACACCTTAGGCTACGCAACGCACACACCCTAGGCTACGTAACGCGCACACCCTAGGCTATGCAACACGCACACCCTAGGCTATGCAATGCACACACCCTAGGCTACGCAACACACACACCCTAGGCTACGCAACACACACACCCTAGGCTACGCAACACACACACCCTAGGCTACGCAACACACACACCCTAGGCTACACAACACCCACACCCTAGGCTACGCAACACACACACTCTAGGCTACGCAACACACACACCCTAGGCTACGCAACACACACACACCCTAGGCTACACAGCACACACACACCCTAGGCTACACAGCACACACACACCCTAGGCTACACAGCACACACACCCTAGGCTACGCAACACACCATAGACTACGCAACACACACACCCTAGGCAACGCAACACGCACACCCTAGGTTACGCAACACACACACCCTAGGCTACGCAGCGCATACACCCTAGGCTACGCAGCGCACAGACCCTAGGCTACGCTACGCACACACCCTAGGCTATGCAACGCACACACCCTAGGCTATGCAATGCACACACCCTAGGCTACGCTACACACACACTCTAGGCTACGCAACGCACACACCCCAGGCTACGCAACAAACACACCCCAGGCTACTCAACGCACACACCCTAGGCTATGCAATGCACACAGCCTAAGCTACACAACAAACACACAGCTGCAAAAAAGTGGGGACAAATTCTGCTACTGAAATCGACTTCGTAAACAACCACACAGAAAGAGGTGGTGGAGGGAACAACCACGTATTCAGAGGTGGTAGAGGAAACAACCACGCAGATATAGGTGGTGGAGAAAACAACCACACAGACAGAGACGATGGAGGAAACAACCATACAGAGTGGTGGCAATGGAAACAAACACGCAGACAGAGGTGGTGGTTTTTAATTGTTTGGGAAAACTGTATACCACTCCACAAATGGCATATTTAAAGCAATTAACAAGAAACGCAAATATGAAGAAAATTGGATTAGCCTAGTTACAAAAGAAGTTATGAGATACTCATCAATGCTTACTAATGTAATACGAAGAGCCAAACTTTCCTTTTATTAAAACAGATTTAAAGAAGCAAAAGGAAATATGAAAAGTAAATGGAAAGCCATTTCTAACATCCTAGGATCTAAACAACAATCACATAACAAGCAATAATACACTCCAAGGATGGTTACATTTGCAACAGACTTAGAAACGGCAACTGAATTTAATAGCTTCTTGTCATCAATTCGTGATAACCTTGCCAGAAAAATCCCAGTGACCCAGACACATGTTATTACATATCTCACCGGCAGCTATCCTAAATCTCTACTCCTTTTACCAGTCAGCCCGACAGATATTATAACCATAATTCAAATTTACCTAACAGCAAAATGGGTACCTCGTTGTTAAACAATTTGGCGGGTCGTATTCCAGGGAACATAGGATGCAGGACCTGCCCGAAATGCTATGCATGCTAGTGCCTTTACAACCATATAACAACTCTTGTATAAATAAATTAAAAAAAATGTAATAGAACCCATGAGCACCACACCAGAAATAAATCTCTTTAATATCCTAGAGTCAGACTAAATTTATTTATATACAAGAAGATACATTGGGTTTGTGAGAATACATAGCATAGTACTGTATTTACAATCTTGTAAAGCCACTAGTATGCACAGCGTTTCGGGCAGGTCCTTGATCTAACAGATAATTTTAAGTAGGTAAATTCTAGCAGAATTAATAAAATGATAACAAATACATTGCAAGAAAAAAATGAGATGAGAGAGTTTAACAAATATTAATACACATTGGTATATTAAAGCTCTGATTGATTACACTGACAGCTTGATTGGTAATTTAAACAAGATTTATAGACACCATACAGCAGATTGATAGCGCATATAAGAAGACAGCAATGATCACTATGATAAAGATGTTCGGATTGGGTACATAAAGATTGGGAGATTGGGTAGCAATAGATACAGTGCAATTTTAAAGCAAAAGGTAAAAAATTATGAAGATGAAATTAGGTACCTTTTAGTTTTGTTTTTGAATGACGCAAAAGTTGGACAGCTTTTCAATTCATTAGGGAGTGAGTTCCATGGACTGGGTCCCTTTATTTGCATAGAGTGTTTACTCAGATTAAGTTTGACTCTGGGGATATCAAAGAGATATTTATTTCTGGTGTAGTGATAATGGGTCCTATTACATCTGTCCAGGGAGAGTTTCAGAGCAGGATTTGCATTTAAGAACAGGGTTTTGTAAATGTAGTTGACACAAGAGAATTTGTGGAGTGAGATTATGTTTAGCGTGTTTAGAGAGTTAAACAAGGGGGCTGAGTGTTGTCTGAAAGCAGAATTTGTTATTATTCTGATAGCAGATTTTTGCTGGGTGATGATGGACTTGAGGTGGTTTGCAGTGGTTGAACCCCATGCACAGATACCATACTTAAGATAGGGATAGATTAGTGCATAATATTAAGAGAGGAGAGCAGAGTTAGGTACATAATATCTGATTTTGGAGAGTATACCAACTGTTTTAGAGACTTTCTTAGTTATGTGTTGTACGTGGGTGCTGAAGTTGAGTCTTGTCTAGGAATAGGCCAATAAACTTTCCATCATTTTTATTGCTAATGTTTACATTGTCTATCTGAAGCTGAATTGCATTTGTAGATTTGCTTTCAAATAAGATGTAGTAGGTCTTTTCTATGTTAGTTTGTTGGTTGACATCCATAAGAGGACTTTTTTTAGTTTATTATTAACAACATTATTTAGTGTATGTGGGTTGGGGTTAGAGTAGATGAGGGTAGTATCATCAGCAAACAAAATAGGTTTCAGAATGTTAGAGACATTAGGCAGATCATTGATGTATATAAGAAATAGGAGAGGTCCAAGATGCTGCCCTGTGGCACTCCAACGGTTATTGGTAGAGTGGGAGAGGTTATATTATTGATGGCTACACATTACGTGTCTATCACTAAGATAGGATTGGATATAGTCCAGTGCATGGCCTCGAATTCCATAATGATGGAGTTTATGTAAGAGGTAATTGTGATTAACAGTATCAAAGGCCTTTCTCAGGTCAATGAAGAGTCCAATCAGAAACTCATTTTTGTCAAATCTGTGCAAACACTCCATGCAAATAAAAAGGCACAGTCTTTGGAACTCATTCCCTGACGAATTAAATTTTCAACTTATACCTTGTTCAAAAATAAAACCAAAAAGTATTAATCTAATTAATTAGGTAAATTAAATTACCTACTTAGGTAAAAGTACCTAATTTCACCCTACCTTGTGCTTCAAATTCCCACTGTATCTTGTACTGCCCTGTTCCCCAATATTAGTACTTAAGACACATCTTTACCAGTGTAATCACCTCTGTCATACTTATATTGTAGTTATTTGATATTGTATATATTCCCTGAAATAGAGGGAATACAGAGAACATATACGGCACGCATAGACGAGATAAAACACCTAAATTATTGGAATCGTCTCAAAGCTCTCCAAATGTACTCTCTAGAAAGGAGACGAGAGAGATACCAAATAATATACACGTGGAAAATACTGGAGGGCCAGGTCCCAAATCTACACAGTAAAATAACAACATACTGGAGTGAACGATATGGAAGAAAATGCAAGATTGAACCAGCGAAGAGCAGAGTTGCCATAGGCACAATCAGAGAACACTGTATAAACATCAGAGGTCGGCGGTTGTTCAACGTCCTCTCAGTGACTATAAGAAATATTGCCGGAACAACCGTGGACATCTTCAAGAGAAAACTAAACTGTTTTCTAAGAGAAGTTCCGGATCAGCCGGGCTGTGGTGGGTATGTGGGCCTGCGGGCCGCTCCAAGCAACAGCCTGGTGGACCAAACTCTCACAAGTCAAGCCTGGCCTCGGGCCGGGCTTGGGGAGTAGCACAACTCCCAGAACCCCATCAAGCAGGTGTATTGTAGTTATATATTGTACTGTATATTGTAGTTATTGATATTATGGTTCGGAACATTGCTATAAAACCTTGCTACAATGTGCCTTTTCGTCTTACCTGATATGTTAGATTAAGGACCTGCCCGAAACACTGTGTGTGTTAGTGGCTTTATATGAATGTAAAAACTTCTTGTATAAATAAAAAATAAGTTAAATAAATAAATATTATTATTGTTTATTAGTTGAGAGCGGGGAACGCAGACTACTGCGCTACGGAACCCCACATAACACAAACAACTACAAACTACCTGTAACTCCGGCCGACGTGACCCCTCGTTAGGGTCATAATGACCTGTGGTGATTAGACCGGGTAGTTAAGTTCATCATTCATACAGGAGAGAAACGTTACTAAACAACCACGACCATGATGCTATCCAAAATAGGGCTACGACACTCCTATTTACACGCGATAACAGCTTAACACACTCTTCTTGGTCGTTTATAACTAGTTATTAAGCAACGTTAGCCAGATCCAGGCTACTGTTGTGGCTGGTGTTCGGCACTGTGGGAGAAGAGAGAGAGCTCACAAACAACATCCACCCTCCATGATTGCCGTGGCCCTACTAACGAGTAACGAGTCCGTTTAATTACCTTTAACGTCCCAAATCTACCCTAAGCTACCCAAAGCTTCCTGGCATTACATAAGTAATGAAGAACTATGATATATTTACTCACTATAATGATGATTCTGAATGTAGAACATGAAAAAACACATTTCTGCTCTTAAATTGTTTGCCCGAAACGCTATGCGTGCTAGTGGCTTTACAAGAATGTTTATTCGACTTAATTTCTAAACTCTCTGTTAACCCCAATGTAACTTCTTGTATATAAATGAATAAGTAAATAAATAAATAAATAATATCATTTTATAACGCAATTGGGTTATCCTAACTGGGGACTGGTCAAATCATCTACTGCAGTTTCGGATACCGTCAGTTTAGTACACCAGTAACACGTTCGTTCACTAACAAGTTTGTATATTCGAACCATTTCGTTCGTATATGCGCTGGTTTGTGTTCGCTGCTGTTCTCGTCTGAATAAATACGTGGTACTTGATCATATAATTAGTGCTTCCATTAACAGTGCTTAGAGCCCTGTTTGTACTACTGTGTCTGTTAACAAAACGCACTCTCATCAGAGAAGGGAAGACAACTATCAGGGGAAAAGCGTCAAGCTATTAAGATTAACAAATCTTAATAGCAAATCTCAAATCAACAAAAATCACATCATTCTAGGAGGTGATTTCAATATTAACCTAGGTCTTCAAAATATCCCTCAAGTTGACTATTTCCGTAACAGCATGCACTCCTGTATGCTAATCCCCACAATCACAAAACCCACTCGAGTCACTCAAACATCTGCCACTACCTTGGATCACTTATGGACTAATATAACAGTTCCCCTTACATCTGGGGTAATCTGTGACAGAACAACTGACCATTATCCTACCTTCCTCATAGCAAACATGGACACAACACCACCAGAAAGCAAGAAACTCTCATTCAGGCTACACAGTGAATCAGCTTTAGGCAATCTCTCTAATGCACTTCACAATATTAACTGGGAATCTGAATTCAATAATACACAGGATATAAACTCATTAACTAACCTCTTTCTCTCCAAAACTCTAAGCCTGTACAACACTCACTGTCCCCTTCTTACCAAACAAGTAACTGACAAAAGAAAAAACAATCCGTGACTCAAAAGTGGAATAATCAAATCAATCAACAAAAAACATGAATATGAAAAGAAATTTAGGATTGGCCTAGTTACAAAGGAAGTAGTTAAAAGGTACTCATCACTCAGGCTATGGTGCCAGTATCATAAGAAAAGCTAAACTTTCATATTTCATAGGCTTCCTGTCCCCAATAACAGCACTTACTTATCAATGACTATGGGGAAGTGAGATCTTTGTCATCAAAGAATTTATGAAAATAAATAGGTGAGTCATTGAACATAAAAGCCATTAAAGTTGAACATTTGAGACCTCCTCGTGAAGTAGTAATTACCTAGTGTAATTCCCTAAGTGTAATTATAAGATGAGAGCCGCGCTCATGGCGCACCATCTTCCCACTTAACTTGTTCCAACCGTCTACCACTGTTTGAAAAAAGAGAACTTATTAATATTTTTTTGGCACCTTTATTTCCTTAGCTTGAATCAATGACCTCTTGCTCTTGAAGTTGCAGGTTTTAAGAATTCCTTTGTCAATCTTATCAATTCCTGATATAAATTTGTATATAACAATGATTCATTAATTTTGCTGGGGACAAGCAGCCTGTGTATATATACATGTAAGGCTTATATCGAAAGTTGCAGGTTTGCAACTTTGCAACTAGTTGCCAGAAACGCTATGCGTATTAGTGACTTTAGGTGTTGTATGTACTAGTTCTATCTATAAATCCAGCATTATGTTTGTAACTCTTCATCAATGTATGTACTTTTACCTGAATAAAAATTTGAATTTGATTTTTTGATATTATGAGACTAGATTCAAAGAAGCAAAAGGCAACATGAAAAGCACATAGAATACCATCTCTAATATCCTAGGAACTAAACAACACTCCCACAACCAAATAACACTCTCTAAGGATGGCTTTACACCGTCAGCTGATTTAGAAATGGCAAATGAATTTAATAGCTTCTTTTCATCGGTTGGTGCTAACCTTGCCAGTAAAATCCCACAGACTTAGACACATATCAACACATATCTCTCATGCAGCTATCCAAACTCTCTTCTTTCACCAGTCAGCCCGACAGATGTTGTGTCCATCATACACTCACTAAAAATAAAAGCTGGGAACATCAGTGAAATCCCATCCATTGTATACAAGAGCGCCTCCCATGCCCTTGCGCCACATATAGCTCTGTTGTTCAACAAATCCCTTAAGTGTCATACCTTCCTTGATATCCTTAAAAAAACAAGAGTAACGCCAGTTCATAAAGGAGGTAATCCGGCAGACATAAACAATTATAGACCAATATCAAACCTACCCATACTATCAAAAATATTTGAAAAAATTATCTACAAACAGCTCTACTCCTATCTCGTCATATACCACCTTCCTAGATCTCAAGTCTGCCTTTGATATTGCAAATAGACATGTTATCTTGAGTGAGCTTGCAAGAATGAATATTGGTGGTCGGCTTCTTTCTTGGATCAGGGGTTACTTATCCAACAGGAAGTCATCTGTATTTGTCCAGGGGCATAGGAGTGTAACAAGAGACTTTGAACTAGGTACCCCGCAGGGAGGTGTCCTCAGACCTACCTTATTTAATATCTTAATAAACACGCTGTTAAACTCTGTACCGAGCAAACCCAACGTCCACATCATTAGCTATGCCGATGATATAATGATACACACCACTGGGTATGCTGATGATATAATGATACACATAACTGGGTATGATGATGATATAGATACACACCACTGGGTATGCTGATGATAAAATGATACACACTACTGGGTATGCTAACACGCAGAACACTCTTAACTCTGTATTAGACTCATGTCAGGACCTAGGTTTAATTATCTCAGCAGAGAAAACAAAGATACTAAATCGGCGCCCACCCAGGCAGGGAGGAGCTGTTCGCAAGATGCAATTGTCTGATGGCTCCCAGCTTGACTATGTAAACAGATTCAAATACCTTGGCCTTGAGGTGCCACTGTATGGCCCTGTTGTGTTCAGACTCTGTCGTCAGTATAAAGAGAGGCTCCGAGCTCTCAAGGCTGTTGCAGGTTATCACTCAGGCTATGGTGCCAATGTCAGAATTGTCAAAATGATGTACCTTGCATACATCAGATCTTTAGTGGATTATGCTGCACCTCTGCTTGTTTTGATGCCTGAAAGAAAGTTTGGAGGGCTTGAAAAATTGCAGAACGAAGCCTTGAGAATAATCCTTGGGTGCCCTCGTACTACAAAGATACTTAATATGAGAAAGGAACTTAATATTCCGAGCGTTGTTGATCGTGTTATTAAAATTAACTGTCAAATTGGTATAAAAATGCTTAGGCTAACTCATCCTAACCCTTGCACAGAAGCCCTCCAGAATTTCTATATTGAAGATCAGCATTGTTCCAAATGAATAACAAAAAGTGGAACTCAACTCAAAATGTATCAGGTTCATAATTTGTACCAAAAGAAACAACAACGGCACTTTCCTGCACCGTGGGAGGTTACACCCGTTCCAGTTTTAATCCCTCCCTTTCCACCCAAGAAGCAAATTAGAGATCAGCCCAAGCTTCGTCCTGAGACAAAGCTCAACGCCTTAAGCCATATTCATGCTCTGTCCACAGAGCATTCTCTCTCACAAACCATATACACTGATGGTTCCCTACACCGCACCACGGGTGCAGCTGGAAGTGCAGTTGTTCTGACAATGGGCGATGGCTTGTACTTTGAGTGGGGAGTCCGTATAAATAACTGGACCTCTACCCTTAAGACCGAACTATTTGCCTTGCTCCTTGCACTGAAATGTGTACAAGTCTCCAAACTTGATACATTAATTGTAAGTGACTCCTTATCATCCTTAAATGCTCTCAACTCTTTAAGACATAACTGTAACATGCTCGTGTCCGAAGCTAGACACAAATACAACGCAATTATTAAGGATGGTAACAGAGTCCATTTCATGTGGTCTCCATCTCATGTTGGCCTCCGAATGCATGATACAGCTGATAAGTTAGCCAAAGAATCCGCCTTTAAAGGAGACGTTGAGTGTAACATTGGATTGTCAATGAGCAATCTGAGAGCAGCAGTACACCGAGAACTTCAACAAGATCTTGTAGATCTGAGGCAAAGTGAAATTGACACCAGTAATTCCATCTATCATCATACTATCATGCAAGAGAACCCAAACATCTATAGATCATCCAATAAAATCAGCAGACTTCTAGATGTTACTACTGCTCGGCTTAGACTCGGTTACAAGTATCTCTGGGAATTATCATTATCTGCCAATGTAGACCCTCTGTCACTATGTGATGGAGTGCGAAAAGATACGTGAATTTAGAGACAATTCTATAACCAATGTTCCAGCGATGTGTAAATATTTCATTCAAAATGATCTGCTACCAGAAATTTTAGCCAATTATCCCCAGTTTGCAAACTGTAGGTACTAATTAAGTGATTGTAACCTATCCACCGCTGCCCACTGGATGGGGGGCGGTGTGCAGGACAAACATATCAATTGTGACACTAGCTCTTCACATATGTCAGTTGCTTAATTTAGAAACTGTACTTGTGGTCGATCTCGAACCCATTGTTGATGTGACGACTATTGAATTTTGTAACTAGCTCATCAAGATTGTAACTTGCTTAGCTACATGAATTGTGGGGTTCAGTCCCTGAGCCCATTACGTGCCTCTGTAACCCTTTCCACTACCGCCCACAAGATGGGTATGGGGTGCATAATAAATGAACTAAACTAAACTAAACTCCTATCTCGTAAAATTCGACATTCTTAGCCCCTGTCCGTTTGGCTTCCGCGCCCAAAAGAGTACCAACGATGCAATTATTAGTCTCCTTGATATAATTTACTCAGCCCTTGACAAAAATGA